AAACCTCCGTACATCTAGTATTTAGTTAGGGCAAAAACCTCCGTACATCTAGTATTTAGTTAGGGCAAAAAACCTCCGTACAAGGACGACTCTCTACAGCAGGAAACAAGGAGAATCTTCTATGAGGGACTCAAGAGTATTTATACCCGTCCCAACTAACGGTCTATTATTAATTAAACCTCTTATCAGCCAAAGTCATAGGAGAATTCTTTTCCAAATTCCCCAGGAAACTCATTTTAACCGGAAAATCGCCTGATTTACCGTCCGAGTGAATGTTTTGTACGGGCTTTGCATCAAAAAACTTCCCCCCTCAAAACTTTATTTAAACAATCAAAGATGGCAACAGTGTGCTCATAAGGACAAGACTGTTATGCATAGAGCCTTTGCAGTACATGTTGTTTAACAAAAAAGTCATAATCAACTGATCTTTTCAACAATCAACAAAGGACTATCTGGACTATCTGGACTATCAACTGGACTAACTGGACTATCAACTTAACGGCCAACAAAAAACCTGCGAAAAGAACAAGGAAAGAATCCAGTGTTACCCTTGCACTAATCACCATTCCAACTGAATGTAGGGGAATTCTTATCCAAATTCCCCAAACATTCAACATTAAATAAAGCTGATCATGCAAGTTTCATAAAAAATGTAATTGAAAAAACACCTTTCATAACTCAGTTGAAAATATCTGAATATATCCAGGAGGAGTTCGGTATAGATATTCGTAAACATGGGGTGTCCTTGCTCATGAAACGACTAGACCTCACTTATAAAAGAGCAAGAAAAGAACCCTATAGAAGGAACTCGCCACAAATGATTCAAAAGAGATTTGAATATGCAACTTATATAATAGAGAATAGTATCGATTACTAAAAATGTATTTTTCTTGATGAACCTGCTTTTAAACTTGAAATGAACCGACATACGGCCGGGAAATAAAGGGAAAACCCCGTGATAGCCAATGAATCTACTGATACCAAAAGCAGGTCGGTGATAGGTGCCGTGTTAATAACCTTTCCTTTCGATTTTGTATTTTTCTCTTTTTGCACCTCTCACTCAAACACTCGTTGAATGCAAATCTCGCCGATTTCGTATAATTTTGCACCCAAATCTCAATCAAATCGTGAATTGCTGTTTTTTACACTATAATGTATAACGTTTCACTCCTTAACGTACCCGAATTATTTTTGTAAACACCTCAATCATCGAAGTGATAATAGATGTACTTAGTGATGGAACGTTCCGGCGGGATAGCTTCATCAAAATATGAATCACAAAGTCTTAAATGTCGTATTTTAGCTTCATGTAAATAAAGCTCTCTTAACATAAACTTCGTATTTAAAGGAATCTGATTTAGTTCTACACTTTTAGCCAAATTCAAACTGAAGAGATTAGGAGATACACATACCAGTTCTTCAATACGCGGTAATCCAGAGTCCCGTATATTCTTTCTAACTTGAGCATATAAGTTGATTGTGCTTAGTTTGGAATACTTTTTGTTCTGATTTTCATTAGAAATATTTTCATTGAGACTTCGCTGCTACAGATGATTTACGATGAACATCTCGACATGCGAAGAACAGAAAATGATGAACAAGTTCCAATTTTTCATATGGTGCTTTTTCATCTTCTAGAAGGTAGCGAAGAGTCGGCACCTCCAGAATCGTTCTAATGATTCTGCTCCTACTTTTTCAATACGAACGGAACTATTTTAAGCTGTGAAGAGTAATCTGCAACAAGTCAATTTGATGACCAAAGCTGTACAATAGTTCTATTCCAAGAGTATTTGTTGCGAGTAACTATAAACTTATCTTCCTCTTCATATTCGTGAGATTTTGTACATGCTTGATATTCTTGTCTTATGTTTTTACCATTAGCTTTAACCAAACCAATGGCCGTAACAGAGATGTGAGTTCCAGCTTTTGACATTCTCCTTCATTGATTTGGAACCATCTTTTGATAGTTTATTGTAGAGTTATATCACTCACTCACACAGACCATCTTCGAAACACTTATGTGGTCTCATGTTTGTCTTTATATTATTCAATTTAGATTGAAAATATTGAAAAAAAAATTGTCTATTCTTCTAGAAAACATTTACTTTGTAACTACTTTATAATATTTCATTGTTTATGAATCATGATTATTGGTTTTTATGGCCAGAAAACCTCTATATTCCGCCCTTTTTTTTTTTTTTTTTTTTTTTTTTTTTTTTTTTTTTTTTTGACATATATGTTTATGTGTTGGAACAAAATACTAAGTATATAAAGATAAAGAGAGTGGACAGAGATATATAAACGTATACAGTGGAAAATTAGAAAAAAAACACTTAGTTGATTAAGGAAAGGATGCAATTAATCATATTTAGCATTTGACTTCACCTGAAGTCCAAGTTCATGTTCTTGTGAATTACACCAAACAGAATGAAACTAAATACGAGATGTGTCGAGCCTTTTTTTTGCTTGACATATAAGAATATATATCTAATAGCTATTTACTAATAGATACCTAGAGTGGGAAAGACTATGTTTAGTCAAGAAAACCTATCGGGTTATGTGGGTAGATCGAGCCCATAATCAACCACCAGTATCCATTAGTATTAGATACATAGTTCAAGTACGGTTGACCATAACACACGCATAAGTAGCATTAGTCAAATACATACTAATACTTGGTAGCACAGTGGATTAATTCGATACTGTCAGATTAATCTTTTCACGTTATTCAAAGGGAGAAAATAACTTATCACGATTAAGCTTAAGTTTCCAAAGCCAATTTGTATATATTATATAGAAATATTTATTACCGAATATAAAGAACTCTCCATAGGTCGACGACCATGCTTCAACCAATTAGAAGCATCACTTTGGTCCACAGCCCACGTCGAGTAGAAGATTTTTCCATTAATATGGAAATGCCTAATTATTTATATATATATGCACATTATCATAGTGCCTCATTTCTGGATTAACACAAACTTTAAATATAATTTGTGTCTTCATTTGATGATTTATTGTACCTATCAATATAGATAGGCCAGTACATCATCTGCAGACCTTCAAGGTCTGACAAATCCCATGTTAAATTTTGCTGTTATTTTGTATCTTGTTGAAGAGCTATACGTAAAAAAACCACTCTGGTTTAACCAGTTTTTTAACTCCGTACATCAAGGGTGGTTGGTGTAGTGGCTAGCATATTTGCCTTCCATTGGAAGTTAGCAGATGACATGGGTTCAATTCCCGTACCACTCATTATTTTTTTATCCTTTAATTTTTCATTTGTGTATTAAATTTTATTAAAGGATTCATCAAGAAGTATATAAGTATGTGACTTAGGTAGTAATAATGTGTTTTTGGTTTCCTAATTTTTTTTGCAACTAAATTCTCTGCAGGTAAGTTCCTTCTCCAAAATATTCACCAATTGGATTAGAATTTTTGGGGGGTATCTTTCTTTCATTGAAAAACCTTAAGCCTTAGCCGGAGCTATAAATAAAATTCACGAGATGGCTCTCATTATTGGGATAATGAAGAGGAGAAACAGTTCAATATCATATAATTAAAAAGAAATTGAGATTGAATTGCATGGCTTAGGGTTGTTTTCCGAATTAAGAATTTAATCACAGAACGTAACTGCTTGCTTGAAATTCTTCTATATTTGAGCGATGAAACCGATAATTATACCATCATGCTATAATTTGAATATTTAATCTTGAAAGTTCTTGGTCTTATGACTATGAAAGATGATATAAGCTAACATAAGAAGCTGTTTAACTCTTGAAACAGCTTTTCCTTTGACAAATATTTATCCATGGTTTCTCCTTTTAATGAAGAATTAATAAGGTAGGTTAACCATATGCGCATCATGATTTATCGTAATGTTGAGTAGCCAGGCATTCCTCATAGATGACTATGACGTTTTAAATAATGGCTCATTGTCTCTTCCCAACAGATTAATTAGGTCGTCGGAACAATAATGTGACTAAAAAAGACTTGACACGGAACGTCTAGGTCATAATACAGGTTTTCCTATTCAATTGTGACTATCTCTATATCCAAGACAAGTTATTTTATGCAATTGCATGAAAGGCCTTTTGTTTCTTGGTATTCAAACTCAAATAATGAAAAAGCTGCAATTTTTTCCGGGAAAATTCAATCAGTTTCTGAAGAGTATTATAAAGCTTCGAATCGAGTCGGAACTATTCAAAGACTAACCATGACCAACTTTCTTTTCACCAAATGCATTAATGGGGAAAAGCAAAAGCTGATAGGGTTAAATAGTGGAGTGGTCTGACAATAACCGTAGCCTGACCAACAATACCATTGGCATCAATATTGCCTCTTAACAATCTTTGTGATCCTAAGCTCTTTGCAATTAAAGTATCAACAAATAGTAGCCCCGGTCTCACTACGAGCTCCCCCAAAGTGGAGAGACCAATGTTGTAATAGGTTTTAGCGCAAAGTTCCCCGGATTAAATTTTCTCCAGTTAACCAATGGTGCATTGAACTTTTCCGGGTGTGAATATTAATCCTAAGAATTTGAAGCTATTGAACCGAGCCAGCGTCTTTGCTTAGTTCCCCATGGGCTTGGTCCTTCGTTGGGTTAGGTTATAGAATATATAAATTAACAAAGATTTCGAGTATGTAAAATTAAAGATCTAAAAAATCATTAAAAAATACTTCACAATGAGATTTTCGGTGCTTCTAATTTCGATTTTTTGTGCAGCATTAGCTTTTGCTGCTGAACGTCCATTAATTCATTTCACTCCAGAGAAAGGTTGGATGAATGATCCAAATGGGTTGTTTTATGATAGGAAAGATGATATATGGCATTTGTATTTCCAGTATAATCCTAATCAACCTTATTGGAATCAGCCATTATACTGGGGACATGCAATATCTAAAGATTTAACTACTTGGACTCATGAAAAATTAGCAATTGGTCCTGAACATGCTGATGAAGGTATTTTCTCTGGGAGTATTGTTGTAGACCATAATAATACTACTGGATTTTTCAATGAATCTATTAATCCAGATCAAAGAGTGGTTGCAATTTATACTAATAATGCAGACATACAAACTCAAGATCTTGCGTATTCTCTTGATGGTGGTTATACTTTTACCAAATATTCTGAAAATCCGGTACTTAACGTAAATTCAACCCAGTTTAGAGACCCAAAAGTCATATGGCATCAAGAGTCTTATCAATGGATTATGACTGTTGTTCAAGCTCAACAATACCAAATTCAAATATATGGCTCTACTGATTTAAAACATTGGAATCTCCATTCCAATTTCAGTGCTGGTTTTACAGGATATCAATATGAATGTCCAGGCTTAATTGAAATTCCAATTGTTGGCACAAATGAAACAAAATGGGTTATGTTCCTTGCTATTAATCCTGGGTCTCCATTAGGTGGCTCATCTGATCAGTATTTTATCGGTGACTTTGATGGTTTCCAGTTTAAGCCAATGGACTCATACACTAGGTTGGTTGATCTTGGTAAAGATTTTTATGCTTTGCAAACTTTTAGTGATGTTGAAAAAACCGATGGAGTTCTTGCTATTGCTTGGGCTTCTAATTGGCAGTATGCAAATGATGTACCGACAAAAGGTTGGAGAAGTTCAACATCATTAGTTCGTAATTTAACTCTAGACTATATTTCTACTAATCCTGAAAAAAAACTATTAAGCTTAGTACAAACCCCCGTTTTCGAGTCTAACGTGTCAAAGAGTACAGAAAAAAGTAACATTACGTTGCAGAAGAATGATTCAATTGATTTCAATGCAGACTCAGGTGTATTTGAATTTGAGTTAAATTTCAAAGTTCTTAAGAAACTCACTTATCCAGAAGTGCCTAATTTAGATTTATATATCAGCACTAAAGATGGTGCTGAGTCTATTCGTTTTGGTTTCAATCCGGTCATTCAAGCTTTTTATCTTGACAGAACCACAGATGCTTTTAAGAACCCCTTCTATACTGGTCAAATAAGTGCCAATGTTGAACCCTACTTAGATAATGAATATAAGGTTCACGGTGTTGTTGATAGAAATATTATTGAATTGTTTTTCAATGATGGGGCTGTTACCATGACCAATACTTTCTTCTTGAGTGAAGAAGCTAATCCTTGTACGATGAATCTAACATCAAATATGAATGATGAATTTCATATAAGAAGTGTTTCGTTTAAAGAGTTATCCGTTTAGTTAATTTACATAATTTACTTGTATATTATTAGTAACATGTATCTTCTACATGCACATGCCTTTTAATTGTTTTTCATCCCCGTAGCAAATGATAAGTGGCTGCAAACTTATCTTTCGAACAAATGATATTGCTCCGCAGCTCCGACTTACAAATCCTGTATAATTAAATATTCAGGTAAGGAGATCGGATAGGGACGGGAATCCAAGGCAATAGATCAATGACTATCAGAAACAACACTATAAATACCCTTAGTGATATCTCTTTTTTCATAAATTTGTATTCGATAGTAACAACACTATAATTAAAATGGCTGCTTATACTAAATCTTTCGAATTAAACGCAAACTGTGACAACTGTTCCAAGGACAACAAATGCTGTTCAGACACTGGCTGTTCAGACACTTGTGCTTGTTCATGCTGTGCTTGAGGTCTTTACTTACTCTCGATTTTTCCCATCTTATCAAGATTATACTTATATAGCTTAGTAATAAATGTGATTATGAGACGTGAAATTGTATATTGTATTAATTATAATCGATACTATTTAGTAAAGTAATTAGGATCAGCACCCAAAATATCGTTTTTGGTTAAATCCAAATTTTCAAAGTCCTTTTTAAATAACTCATCTTCTTCAGGGAAGTCTTTGGCAGACCTCCACTTGAATCGCTTGGTCAATTCGGTTTCTCTTCCTTCTAGAAGGTCAGCGGTAACTTCACCGATGGTCGGAATGAATTTAAACCCATGACCACTATCACCTGCTACTACTAAAAGATTATTATTACCCGGTACACGGTCAATGATAAAATCCTCATTGATTGATTCCCCATACCAACAAAGTCTTAATTTTTCAAAAGGTAATTTTGCCTCTGCAATATCTGGTAAATAAGTACTAATGAAATCAGTTACAGTTTTGAAAGCGTCTTTAGGAACATCCAAAACATTTGAGGATTCAGTAAGTGGAACAGAGACTCCATTCACATTATTAATCCATCTTGTATGTCTAGCACCGAATTTTAAATAGCCATTATCAGTGATTGGGAAAAAGAAAACACCACCACCTTCGAATCTATGGTCATATTGTTTCCAAGCAACAACGGGGAAGTTTTCAATGCTATATTTCTTGAGCAAATCTTTTCTTTCAGGGGGGATTTTAATTAGTAAGATATTTCCCGAATCCGCTTGCTGAATGGGACTTAATTCTGGTACTAAACTTGAAGTCCATGCACCGGCAGCAACAATCACTATATCTGCTTTATGTTCTTCACCATCAGCAGTAACGATACCTTTGACATCTTCCCCGTCTTTAATAAATTTTTCAAATTCTCCCTTTTTCCCCAAAATATATTTGACGCCAGCCGTTTTAGCAAGGTGATAAGCAAAGTATGTTGCTTTAGAAGCATATGCAAATCCAGTAGTGATATCTAAATTTCCAATTATAGGTTTGCCGTTCTCCTTCTTTCCGGCGAGTTTCAAAGCATCAAACTTCTTACCAAACCCACTTATTTCAGCCCTGAACTTGTCATGTTCATTATTAATATCGAATTGAGTCCAGCTCAAACCTAATTTTTCAAAATTTTCAAAGTTTTCAACTTCTGCTGGCTGTTCTTCCCAAGGAGTAGTGTGGTATCTGAGATATCCAACTTTATTATATAGTTTCCCTTTCCCATCTAAACCTTCAGGTAAATCAGAATTAGAGTATAGTTCATTCCAATTTTCCCACTCTTTGATTGTCTTTAGAGCGAAGCTTCGGTGTAAATCATCATAATGGGTGAATCTCACAATCTTGTTCAAGTCAGTAGAAGCAGCATCAGCTGAACCATGAACCGAATCGAAGTGATTGACATCGTAAGGCTGCCTGTCAAAAACAGTAATGTTAGTGAACCCTCTTCTTGCGAGGTGTAAAGCAGTACTGTTACCAAATGCAGCAGCACCTACAATCAAAATTGAAGAGTCTTTATCAATAGACATTGGATAGTTATCCTTACTTGTTCCCTGGTTTGGCTCGTAGGTTATGCCATCAGCCTTTTATACCTTTTTGAAAGCGGAATTTTTGTCTTGTGGCTTCGAACGGAAAGGATGCGAAAGACTCGACCTTCTACCGGGAGTATATTCCGATTAGGTGATAAGTACGTGCTGAAACTCTACCTTACTAGCGGCTTCATCCTTTATTGACTCAAGTGGTTATACCTTAACCAGTCTGTTGCGCATGGGTGGACTAAAAGAAGCCTCGGAATTCAAAGCATGAATACATGGCTTAAATAAACGCAATTTTACAATTCAAATTCATTGACACAGTAATTTTGAAGCAGTGAAGCCGTAGAGAATTCAGTTATCCAGAAGCTTATCTGAAGAAGTGTATTGGATAATTGAATGGGATTCATTTTTTATACTGGATCCGTTTCCGGTTTTGTAGAGTATGGAAACAGTTATTTCCCTATTAACGATTTAAATTGACTATTAAAACAGGAGGCCGTCGTTTGGATCATCAGAAGACCCTTGTTAGGTATTTTAACAATCGCATGTAATAAGTTCAAGAAATACGAAATTTTTCAATTTTGTAAGAATTATCATTATAATTTGCAATCATTTTAAGAAAATTTGCAAAAAAATGAATAAAATTGCAAAAAATCGACTTTTCAACATCAACCTTGAACAAGTGTACATCTTTAAGTTGAAATATACTTTCTTACATTTTAACTTCAATAGTTTTTAATAATGTAGTACTGAGACTACCAAACTTTTATTTAAATCGTAGCTAAATAATGTTGAAACCGAAATATGGGTATAAAAAAAACGATGAAGAATTAAAAAGTGAAAAATACTAACTTCTTTCTTCGTAGTATTTGATAGAATCGAAGAAACTCTTTTTGTAATATCTTTCTTGGGTCGTTCTGTTAACAACTTGTAAACCAAATTGTTGTTCGTAATCACCAAACTCCCAATTGTCTGCGAAAGACCACATAGTGACGATGTCAACTTTGACTCCGTCTTCATGGATGGCTTTCAAGATAGCATCAAAGTAAGAACGATAATAGACTGATCTTCCCAAATCATATAATTGGTCACCCAATTCTTTCTCGCCTTCTCTCCACTCAGGGAAACCAATTTCAGTTACTGCAACTGGGGTTTTGAAAGTTTTCCATAAATAATTCAAATTTTCTCTTATTTGATTTGGGGTAATATAGACGTAAGATTGAGATCTGTATCCAATCTTCCAATTATCTTCTCTTACTTGAGTGACGTTTGCACAGAAAGGCCATAATTTATGGTCTGGATCATTTTGACAAGCTTCAATACCTTCTTTTGGAGCAACAATGGAGCCATATGTATATGGATCAACCCCAACAAAATCAGAACCGCCTTTGACTTCTTTCAATTCATCTTCAGTGAAAAGGAAGTTAGAATAATTAGCAAAAGTATCTTTCCAAGCTTGTGGATAATCTTCACCCAAGAATAATGGGTTACCAAAACTTTGCACGTAGAAAGCATTATAACGATCAGCAGCAGCAACATCTTCAGGATTAGAGGTATTGCGAGGAACACCAAGACTAAGGTTAAATTTAATACCGAATTTACCTTTACCTTGGATTTCTTCATGATAAAATTTATGAAGTCTTGCGGTAGATTTTACCACTGTTTTGATACTTGCAGGATCATTTGAGTATAACAATGGTTCATTGAACCCAACCCAAAGGGGAACCCTATCAGCATAATGAGTAAGAATAATTTTCCCGTAATGAACAAAGGCATCTTCGAAAGAAACATTTTTGTAAGAGCTAGAATAACCACCGTTTTTGAAAAGAGCAGATTTGGCGGTGAAATTAGTGCCTTCAACAAAACCATAAGGAGAATCAAAATGGGTTAATGTAGCCATTGGAGTAATACCGTTTTCCAAACAAGTATTGATCAAATCATCGTAATGATCAAGAGCTTCTTGATTGACTGGAGTACCAGGAAGAGTGAATGGTAATATACGTGCCCATGGGATGGAAAAACTATAAGTTTTAACCCCCATAGCGGCCAAACGAACGATATCTTGTTTATATAAGAAATAATTTTCATTAGTGACGTAATCTTTTGGTCTTGCATCAGGAATCAACTTATCTTGAATAGTAGGTCCTTTACCATAAGTAATTGCACCTTCGATTTGAGCAGCTGAACCAGCAACCCCAAAATGAAGATCTTCAGGGAATTTAAGAGAATCATCAAATTTGAAAGCATCAGGAGGGGGCAAAACAAGTGATTCGGTTGGAACTGCAGTAGGTTCGACAGTAGTACTATAAAGACCAAAATAAGTATAGTTTTGAAGACTTGCCAGGGACCAAAGTTGAGAATAAGCATAGTCCCCATAAGGATTTTCCGAATCAGTAGCAGTAGCAGTATCATTTGGGTTATAAGTACCCCAAGTTGTTGAAGATAAATCACCAACTAAATGACTAAGCTCGGTATAATGAGGAGCATAGTACGCAGTAGTGTTAGCCTTTTGATTTGAATTAGCATAGGTTGGAGAAGGATTTGGTGCATAAGTGAATGCAGCGTATTCCAAGCTTGAACTATAAGTACTTTCAAAGCTAGCGGACTCAATTGGCTGAGAAGCCACAAGCAGACTTGCTAACAATAATAAGAGGAATTTCATTATTGAATAATGAAAAAGCCCAATTTCATTCTTGGGAGAAAAATCCTACTCCTTTTATATACCATCAGTGGTTCGAGATCTTCAAATACAACTATTCATCCTCGACTCCAATGCATCTAATTTTGCTCTCGAGATGGAAGCGCAACCGGCTTTCCAAGTTTGGTCTGCGACAATTACAATTGAGTTCTAAACATAGACTGAAATAGTACAAAGAACAATACAGCTCTCTCCCCCACAATTCATGGAATGTCTACTAAGATGTCATTCTGGGGTTACATTGGTGTTGGATAGCTTAAATAATTGCCGTATTCCATTACGAGATTCTATTAACCGCAACCCCATGTAGCAACCAAAGCCTAAGAACAAGGGCCTACCATTTAAACTATAAGTAGAATAAAGCTTTGTAAATTATACGTCAAGACAAGAGCTTCTTCGGGATATGTCAAATGAACTAACTTGGTACATTATTGAGCCTTTGTAATCAATTCCGCTCTTGTGGGGTTAAAGCTTTGTGTGGAAAATCATGCCATGCTATATATATTGAAATGAGCTCCTACTTGATTTTCACGACGTATTTGTTGCTTTCTTCTTCGCTGTAGTCTTTCAAAGTTAGTAGGTTACGAATTCAATCATAAGGAATGCAAAAAAAAAAAAAGAAAAAAAAAAATTGAAGCACCCCGGACTATATTAAGTCCGTTGTCCTCGAGAAGCCTCCAAACTACATCGCTCTTGCCTCTTTACATGAGAACTCCAAGAACATCTTTGTGGGGGTGGGGGTTTGATGTCAGCCCGTTACAGAGTGCTCGAAGAGTACTCAAAGTAGTCTTTGATGAATAAGTTTGATGCCCTTGGTTGAACGTAAACGTCGGTACATAAAAAATATCGGATAAAAGACAGTAGGAAATGCCGAACCATTGAACGTATTAAAAAGTAGAGGATGTTGAACTGAATCAAAGTCAAGTAATGTAGGTTCCATTCAAGTGCTCGATAACACCAATAGGGGTTACTTAGAAGGTTGGGATTTATGAGTTAATTGAAGAAAAACCGCTCAATTCCGAATTAGATAATTATGTATTAATGTAAATTTTTCCGAGAATAAGGTTTTAAATCCCGAATTGAGTTTCTACAATAAAAATCACGACATCTGAATATTACTGAATAACCTACAATGAAATAGTGTCGAAGGATTACAGTGTGTAGTTCGATTACGAGATTATTGAGCTATTCACGAATTAGGAGCAGGTCTCTTCAATCCCTTGGATGAAATAGCACTGTTAAGTTGTGCTCTGGAAAACTTTCTTGTTTCTAAATTCTTCTTGAATATCTTATCGAATTCTTCTTTATTGTGACTATTTGTCCATCTGGTTTCATAAAGAGGATGATCTTTGGGCAAAAACGTTTGTCCTTCAACCCCATATACATTTTCTCTAAAAGTTCCTCCAGGTACAGCATAATCTTTCCAAAAAATACCTCTTTTTTGTAATTCAGGTACTAATAATTCAACCAAATCCTCAATGGATCCGGGCAATATTGCTGAATTGAAATTAAATCCGTCTAAATCGAGTTTCTCTACCAATCTTTCCAATTCATCCGCCACCTCTTCCGCAGTTCCAACCAATGGCCCATTCCCTGGCTGTTTTCGCAAGAGAGATTTCTTAGTCGGTTTATTATTTGCTTTCTTGAAATATACTCTAGCAGTCGATTGAACTCCATTTGTGTTTCTTTCATCATTATCAATTTCCTCGTCGGTATCATACTTATCAAGATCAATCCCAGTGATTCCTCCAAATTGAACCGCTGCCCTGTCTGGTACTTCGTTGTCTTTATAGGATTCAGCTTTAGCTGCTGCTTCTTCGTGAGTTTTACCAATGATTGCTCTAACTGAAAAAATAATCTTAATATTCTTTGGATCCCTTCCAAATTTTTCTTTTGCAGTTGTTCTGATGTACTTAACCTTGTCACCCAATTCATCTGGGTCTCCTAGGGTGTAAACAAATTCGGCAAATTCAGCAGCAAACTCTTGTCCCTTTTGCGAAGTACCAGCTTGTATAAGAAGGGGAACTCTTTGCTTAGATGGTTCAGTTATGGCTGGTCCCCGTACCTTGAAATAATCGCCAACATGGTTTATTTCCCTAACTCTATCTGGATCAATATATATTCCATTTTCCTTATCATATATTAAAGCATCATCCCTCCAAGTTGAAAGTAATAATCCATTAACAACATCAGCATACTCCGTTGCCCTCTTATACCTTTCATCGTGGGGAGGGAAAGGTTCATCGTTCAACAACTGCGTTCCAATACTATCTAAATAAGAGGTAACTATATTCCAACCAACCCTACCTTGAGTGAAATGATCTAAAGTAGCTAATCTTCTGGAAAATAAGTACGGATGTTCACTTACCGTACTAAAGGTTATTCCAAAAGATATCGTATTGGTTTCTCTGGCGGCAGATATAACAGCGTGGCTTGGGTCGGCTTTTGGTACGTTAATTCCAGTCTTGACAGCAAATTCATAATTATGGGGTCCTTTATAAGTATCAAATAACGTAAGATGATCAGCAACGAATAATGCATAGACCTTACCTTTTTCTAAAAGCTTAGCAGTATTAATCCATGTGTCTATATCTCTACTATAGTTCCTAGATTCATCCTCTGGATGCCTCCACTCAGCTGTCCCTCCAGTTATAAAGGCAGTTATTATAAGCGATTTTTTATTAGGCATTGCTCAATCGTAATAAATATTGAAAGTGGATTTCGGAAATACTTAATATTTTATATGCTGATAATAGTGGCACAACCCTCGAGATAATACTAAATTGATGATTAATGTATTTAATCTTGGTATTATTATAATCTTCTCGGAAAGGATCCGCTTGATTATTGAATCTTCATTCAATCAATTTCACGAAGGCCAACCTTGTATTACGCGATTTGCAGCCACATGTCTTTTATCTCTCTAGTGTCTTAATATCAATTACAATTGTCTATCAGAGGCCAAGAATGTATATGTATATATATATACTCTGGTAAGATGATAAGGTCCTGAATTCGAAATACCCAAGCCAAAAATGTCCAATAATCAAGATCTCCAAGTCTCAAAAAAGGATGTGCTAGTAGAGACTAGAATTTCCTCAACGTCTTCAAATTTTCAAGACTCAGAAAGTTTACAAGATAAATCGAAAGCCAAAAACTTTATAGCAAGGTTTTTTCGTAGCGGAGTGAAAAGAAGCCACGAAGAACGCCGATTTACTAAAAAATTAGACCTTCACTTGCTTCTGTGGGGTTGCATTGCCTATATTCTCAAAAGCATAGATCAAACCAATGTCCAGAATGCTTATGTTAGTGGGATGAAGGAAGACCTCAATATAGTTGGTAATTCCTATAGCTGGATTCTTACTTTTTTTTTAATTGGTTATCTGATTGGGATATTACCTTCACAATTTTTTTTACAAAAAATAAAAACCCAATATTGGGTACCTTCTTGTGAATTCATTTGGGGTGTTTTAACTATTTGCTGCGCTTTTGTTGATTCTAATGGTAGTAGTGGCCAAGGACCAGTGAAGGCTCTTTATGCTCTTCGTTTTCTTATCGGTTTACTAGAAAGTTCCAGCTGGCCAGCAATGATGACAATTTTTCATAATTATTATGACAAGTATGAATATGCCACTCGGGCTGCTCTTTTTACAGGGTCTTACTATGCGGGTACAATGTTCACTGGATTCTTACAGGCGGCAATCCACAAAAACTTAGATGGCGTATCAGGTATAGCCGGGTGGAAATGGTTATTTATTATTAATGGAATAATGACAGTTTTTTGGGCTTCCCTTGGAGTTTACTTCATACCAAGTCCAGTTGAAAATGGAGGAGCAAGATGGATGAATGACAAAGACTTAACAGTAGCACAAGAAAAACTAGATCGGATGGGCAGAGTTACCAAGCACCAATTCAGTTTCAAAAAGGTTATTCAAGTTTTCACTGATTACCGATTCTACTTGCTTTTGTTGGCTTATGTCCCTGAGCTGTGGACTAATGGTGAAACATACTTCAACCTATGGTTGAAAAGCCTTACGAATAGTGACGGGACCCAACAGTTTTCTGTCGAGCAAATAAATTTAATCCCTATAGCAGGTGCAGCCATTCAGATGGTGAACATTATAGTTCTATCCAAATTTGCAGATAATACTGGGTATAAACTTCCAGTCATGGTTTTCGAGTGTTGCGTTGGCTTCACTGGAACCGTAATTCTTGCAACCTGGCCAAAACTGGAAGGTGTCAAATTTTTTGCATTCTTCCTCTTATATGCAAAAAGCGCAAATACCCCCATATTGATTTCTTTTATAGGAGAGATATGGGATAAAGCGCCTGAAGTTAGAGCTATTGTGACAGGGTCACTAGTTTTAATGGTTTATGCAAATAATGCTTGGATTTCTCTCTACGTTTGGCCCTCAGGCGAGGCCCCGGTATATAAATGTGGATATAAAGTCACAGCTGGTTTCATTTCTGCTTCATTCATTGGTATTATCTTCTTTTATATCTTGGGTTACAAGAGAACTATTCAAAGAAGAAACCAGTCTATTATAGTTGAATAAAAGGTTCGAATTTATTGTAATAAAATACTTGGTATTTGCTGAAGACTAAGTAGAATCATCAATTATCTAGAACCTAATTTTATTCCAGTTAGTTGTGGAGTACAATATAAAATCGTCCATGCTAAATACTATCTATTATTCTATAAATTATGTATGTAGCCATTTATTTCCCATATACTTATTAACTCATGCACTCCTCTAATTATATACAATTCATTATGATACAAGTTAGGGGTATTGACACCATTCTTAGAATAATCGTCAATATACTTCCTAAACAATTCATCATAATCCCTGTAATCTGATGCATCAAAATATATATAAAATAAATAATATTTATTACCATCTATAAAGTCTGATACTTGGGTAATATGTGCGTCAGAGATTCGACTAGGGTCATTTGCTATGTCAGCCAAAGACATCTCATTAATTAAATCTTTTCTATCAAGTGACATTGTAGACTATTCAACACTTAAAAGAGATTAGACTGTTTAATGGCTGGTCTTGATCATTTTCAGCTTCTTTATATTCGTTAAATTTCGTCTGTATAGTGACTCACGAATCGTGTACAGCCGCCTCTAATTTAGAAAGCTATTGCATCAAATCTACGCTAGCTTTTCGACTAAGAAATATACCCAATGCTGCAAGAACTTTGTAATATTCTTCTTAGAAAATGCTAAACGGTAAGGTAGTCAAGTAATTTTAAATCTAGGATAATCTATTTTAAATTGAGCATTTTCAAATTACTGACGGTGCTACATTGAAATATTACGATTATTTAACTGGATTATCTATGGATCAGAGTTTGAAATGCTTGTTATTATCACCAAGAGACACAGTAATGTTCTCCACAGAGCTTGCATCATCTGTGTCTATCAATTTTCCATTTTCATAATGTTCTGCATCCCATCTTTCCAAGTCTTGCTTATTAACTTTAACCACAGTATGTCCTTGTTCTCCATTCTCTAAAGAATAGAGTGAAACCCTATGTTCATAGTTATAGAGCTTCGGTAAAACTTTTGCCCAAACATAGTAGTAGAAAAGACACAAGCAAATAATACCAATTGTGGTCAAAGCATAAGCACAATAGAAAAAGGAAACATCTGATCCATTTAAAGTTCCATCTGCTGGTGGAACGAAAGCCATAGCGAAAACGAAAATTTCGTATAAAATAACAAGTACTAAAACTGGTAATGGAACTTTCCAACCAACAAATCCTAAACCTGCCTTTTCCCTTTGCTTTCTAACAAGAAGAAGCCCAACAACCAAAAGAATTTTAAAGATATAACCAGAGTAAGAACCCATATCAACAACGAAGTTGAAAGCATCACCCGGAGGAGGAGCAAGACTAACTATAACATTAACAACCCACATAACAATGATGGGTAATATGGGTGTACCCCATGGTTTTGTAGAGGTCCATAGTTTAGAGTAAGGCAAAACACCTTGTCTACCACATTCTCTCAACACACGGGATTGTCCAACAACCGAAGCAAGTAGGTGACCAAGAGCAGCGAGGGCAACCAAGACATCAAGAGCTTTTTGAGCTGCTGAAGTACCAAAAACCTTTGAAAAATATACCGAAGAAATCAAAGTACCAGCATCAGAGATTTCTTTCACTGATCCTATACCAGCATAGTAGGAAGTGATAACTAAAATATAAAGTATACATACAAAAAAGACAACAGCAGGTATGAAAAAACGGAATAAGTTTTTGCTTTTCCTTGGGTCTGCTTCACCAGCCAACATGATACAATACTGAGTACCACCATAAGAAAAGGAGACTTTTAAAATAGCACTACTAATAGCATTTCCATTAGTTGTGGTTCCCTCCCATGGATTTTTAAAGATTGAATGTGGATCTTTTACTTTTGAACCACCACCTAATACAACAAGTCCACTAATAACAATGAAAAGCATAAACACTAATTTAACAAATCCTAGAAAGTTAGATAACTTTAAAGATAATTTGCTACTCACTGCAGCCAAAATACAAGTGAATGTCAAAATGGCTATACCAACACCCCTCTCTGCCCAAGCACTCGCATTAACTCCACTTGCCAGAAGAATGTAAGTCCCAAACGCTATCGAACTTGAGTTTAAATAGCTCAAGCAAACCGACACGGCTGCGTAAGTGGTTGGAATCATAAAATCGGGTTTTGGATAAGCCTGCTCCAAAAATGCTACATCGGCACCATTTCTTAATCTGAAATAGGTTAAGTACTCAATGTATACCGAAAGCTCCATAATCATAATGAAAAACCCACTCACCCATAAAACATACGTTGAGCCAATACTTCCCATGGATTTAACAACACTACCAGGAGTTGCAAAAATACCAGTACCAATCATACCTTGAAGAACCATGTAAAATGCTGTAACATAATCAAGGTTATAACCAAGAGGATTTACTTTCTCCACAGGAGCACCTTTTGCATTTTGTTTGATTGAATATTCTCCAGCTTCATGACTTTGTGAATCAAAATTGATTTCTTCAATATCACCACCAAAGAATGGGTTTAAAATTTTTTTAGCTCTAGACATGCTTATGACAAAAAAAACTTATTTCTAGTAGAATGCTTCTTTGAATCTGCTTTTTTCGGTACGATATTTATAGGAACTGAAAAATCCTAAGTCAATGGGGCCATCCTTGCCCCCACTACCCAAACGGAACCATCCCGTGAATACTAGACATGATTTTTATTGACAGCTTTTATAAACGCACGTCATTTAAGAAAGGTACATGGCTTGAAACTATTATTTATTTAAGCCATTGTCGGTATATTTCCGTTATATTGCAGCCACAGGTTGCAAAAAGTTTTTTCTTTCTCAATCAGGAAATTGGGAGAGTATGATAGCCGCAAAAATTTTGATTATGGAAGCGAACAACTACCTGGAAGTAAGCAAGGCATTTGTTTCCAATAACCTTATAGAAGAAAACTTTTTAAGATCTCAAGGTACAAATATCCAACATCCTTTGAAAATGAAACACCAAAAACAGGGTTTTTGGGTAGCAGAAATATCTCTACCAATAGTAGTAGCGGCATTACGAACTTCATCTGACAGCATTAGACATCCATGATCCTGTCAGTCAAATTTTCAAATTTTGCGAGAGCTACAGTAGCCAGACTCAAGTTTGAAAGTCCCCAGGTAACTTGTTAACAGAGGTATAAGCCCGATAGATCTAAAAAAGTAAAGAGTCATAAAAATATTATAATGTGCTTTTATTTGTGTTCTATGTACGTATAAGAATGTTTATGTATAAAATTTAAATGATGAAGGATATTCCCGCTCATCTTAAGCCTTAGGCAGCTTATTATTGTCAGTTACCGAAATAGTTATATTTTCCACTGAAGTTGAATCTTCATTTTCGATAGAATGGCCATCAGCGCCAATGAGTTTCCCAGACTTATCGTGCTCGGCATCCCACTTCGCTAAGTCTTCATATTTAACTTTCACCACTGTATTCCCCTTTTCACCATTTTCCAAAGAGTAAAATGATTGTCTATGTTCATATTTGAAAATTTTTGGTAAGATCTTTGCCCAAACAAAATAGTAGGAAGAGCACAAGCCAATGATCCCAAAACATGCAAGAGAGTAAGCACAATAGAAGAAAGAAACATCGGAACCCTTCAATGTACCGTCATCTGGAGGAACGAATGCCATGGCGATTACAAATAATTCATAACAGGCGATCATGATTAAGATTGGTAAAGGAACTTTCCAACCTTCAAACCCTAAACCAGCTGCTTTTCTTCTTCTTCTAATTTTCAAAAGACCAATTACTAAGAAGAATCTGAAGATATAGATCACATAAGCACCCATGTCCACAACAAAATTAAAAGCATCACCTGGGGGAGGTGCAACACTGACAATCACATTCACCACCCAAATAACAATAATAGGTAAAATAGGGGTCCCTAAAGGTTTAGTGGAAGTCCATAATCTAGCGTACGGTAAAACACCCTGTCTACCACATTCTCTCAATACACGAGATTGACCAATGACCGTTGCAAGTAGATGACCAAAAGCAGCTAATGCAACTAAAACGTCTAAAGCTTTTGTAGCAGCAGAAGTTCCGAAAACCTTTGAAAAATATACCGAAGAGACCAAAGTACCAGCTTTGGAAATTTCCTCTACTGATCCTATACCAGCATAATAAGCAGTAATGACCAATAAATATAAAGTGAAAACAAAGAATACAACAAAGGGAACAAAAAACCGGAACAAGTTTTTGGTTTGCTTAGGATGGGATTCCCCAGCTAACATAACACAGTATTGAGTACCCCCCATTGAAAATGAAACCTTCAAAATGGCATTACCTATCGCATTGCCACTAGCTGTTGTACCTTCCCATGCATTTTTGAAAACTTCATGAGGATTTTGCACCCTTGTTCCACCTCCCAACACCACCAAACCACTAATGGCAATAAAGAGGATGAAAACAATTTTGACAACACCCAAAAAATTAGTTAATCTTAAACTCCACCTACTATGTATGGCAGCTAACATACAAGAAAATGTTAAACTTGCTAATCCAACACCTCTTGCTGCCCAAGCTGAATCAGATCCAGCTGCCAGTAGGATATATGTTCCGAAAGCAATGGAACTAGAATTAAGGAAACTTAAGCAAACTGTAACAGCTGCATAAATTGTAGCCACTAGAAACTGAGGTTCAGGGTAAGCTCTTTCTAAGAAAGCTGCATCACCACCTGAACGCCTTTTGTAATAGGAAATATACTCAATATATACACTTACTTCTGCTAACACAATTAAAAAACCTGAAACCCACAAAACATAAGTTGATCCAATGCTCCCCATTGATTTCACGACAGTCCCAGGAGTTGCAAAAATACCAGTTCCAATCATTCCCTGGATTACCATGAAAAAAGCAGTTGGGTGATTAAGATTATAACCTAGAGGGTTCACTTCCTCCTCTGGAGAGCCTCCTTCATCTGGTTTAACGGAGGACCCACTGCCAAGTTCGTTGATATCATAATCAAATTCTTCTTGGTTTCCTTCGTAGAAAGTATTAGGGAACTTTTCACGTACTGACATCTTTATTAGAGACCATCAAGAAACTTCTAGGAATACATGAGATTAATCTTCACTTAAGTAGAACTAGGTGTTTCAACTTGCTATCTTCTTATTGTAAAGCGAAGTACTATTTATTGCAGCCACAGCTTTTTTCGCATCATTAATGTCAAATCTGTCAAATTTTTTAAATCAATAACAGATTTGACAACAGAAGAAAGATCCATTATACTTTGCCTTGATTTATGCAAGGCACTCTTCATTACATTTATCCATTAAGCAATCCAAAACGAGGGCAGATATTTCTTCTTGAGCACCTAATAATTGAAATGAGGAAGTAAGTCTCGCCACAACACCCATAGCCTACGCTCTCAAACATGATTTACTACGGCACTTCTGATTTGAACAGCAAACTGAACCATCAAGGTTTTGTATATGTACAAAGTATTTTTTATTCTTGAGCCCAAAAATAATAGATATATATATTTATATACTGATATTTATAAGTAGGGTAAGAGAAGTGAAGAGCTAATGATAAATAATAAAATCAAACTTTATCTTGTTTGTTATCGGTAACTGAGACAGAAATGTTTTCAACGCTGGTTGGATATTCATAATCACTGGTATGGCTGATTGTTTGATCATTTGAGTCAGGCTTGACTAATTTTCCATCTGAGGTATGTTCCAAATCCCATTGGGCAACATCTTTTGCAGCAACCTTGACAACTGTATGTCCTTGCTCACCATTTTGTAAGGTGAAAGAAGCAATCCTATGTTCATAATTGTAGAATTTTGGTAATATTTTAGCCCAAATGTAATAATAGCTAATACATAATCCAATTATTCCAATAGTTGTTAAAGCATAAGTACAATAAAAGAAAGATACATCAGAACCAATTAGCGAACCATCAGCAGGAGGAACAAAAGCCATTGCAACAACAAATATTTCATATAAAATAATTATGATCAAAATAGGCATTGGAACTTTCCATCCTTGATAACCCAAACCAGCTTGCTTTCTTTGTTTTCTGACAAGAAGAAGTCCAACTACCAAAAGCAATTTGAAAATATAACTTGAATAAGAACCCATATCAACTATGAAGTTGTAGGCATCACCAGGGGGTGGGGCTATACTTACAATCAAGTTAACTAGCCATGTTATAAAAATTGGTAAAATGGGAGTCCCCCAGGGTTTGGTAGAAGTCCATAGCTTAGAGTAGGGCAAAACACCTTGTCTGCCACATTCTCTTAAGGCACGAGAGTGGCCAACTACTGCAGCTAATAAATGACCAAAAGCTGATAATGCAACCATAACATCAAGAGCTTTTGTAGCAGATTTAGTACCGAAAACTCTTGAAAAGAATGCCGAAGCAACCAAAGTACTAGAAGATCCAATCTCTTCAGCTGATTCAAAAGCTGAATAGTAAGAAGTTATAATACATATATAAAGAATGTAAATAAAGAATAACACTCCAGGAACGAAAAAGCGGAAGACATTTTTAGTCTGTCTTGGATTTGTTTCCCCAACTAAACTGAAAACATACTGAGTCCCACCGAAAGAGAAAGAAACCTTTAAAATGGCATTACTAATAGCATTACCATCACTAGTAGTACCTTGCCAGGCATTCTTAAAGATCTCATGAGGATTTTGGATACGAGTATTTCCACCCAAAACCACAAATCCGGTAATGACAATCAAGAAAAGGAAGACAACTTTGATGAATCCCAAAAAATTTGATAATCTTAAACTCCATTTAGTATTTATTGCTGCTAATATACAAGCGAATGATAAAACAGCCATTCCAACACCTCTTTGACCCCACGCAGAAGCTTCAACACCGGCAGCACTCAAAACATAAGTCCCAAAAGCGATAGCAGAAGAGTTTAAGAACAGCAAACAAATAGATACAGCAGCATAAGTCGTAGGAATCATAAAATCTGGCTTTGGGTAAGCTTGTTCCAAATAAGCTACATCACCTCCATTTCTCTTCTTGAAGTAAGTAACGTACTCAATATATACAAATACTTCAAAAAGAACAATTATAAAACCCGAAGTCCATAATACATAAGTTGACCCAATACTGCCCATCGACTTAACAATTGTTGCAGGAGTTGCAAAGATACCAGTACCTATAACCCCTTGAATGACCATATAGAAAGTAGTAACATAATCAAGGTTATAACCGAGTGGATTCACTGATTCAACCGGAGCACCATTTGAATTTTGAGTATCAGAGTAGTTACTTTCGTGATCTGAGTTAACTTCGTAGTCAATATCATCAACTTTTCCTCCAAAGAAAGGTGCTAACGCAGTCTTAGCTCGATACATATTGGCTTACAGAAAGCAATCTTTGACCATCATGTCCTTCTTTATATAAGTATATATACTCTTTTATGGCCAAGACATGAGGATATACTATCCGCCATATGAATCTAATTAAACAGTACAATTATTTCATTGTAAAAGAAAAATCCTTTGCAATTAAATTAACTGAAAAAACTGTGGTGGCTCTTTGTTTTTTTTTTTTTTGCGGTAAAGCGGTTGCAACATTTTTGATAAAGAACCGTTTGATAATACAAGATTGATTGATTTTGATATTGTTCAAATCTTATACTTTTCTGAATAGTATCGAATCTCGTAAAATGTAGCTTATAGGTAAATAGGTAAATAAGGGAGTCCTTACTAAAAGTGTTCTTAACCTTCATTTTTTTGCAACCTAAGTAATTCTTTTCTTTTCGTGAATGGAAAGATCAATATTAATGCGGGACACTTCCTTGATAATCTTAGCTGGCCTCAAGAGTAAAAAATATTATCTAGTAGGCGAAAGAGTCAAGAAGCAGTAAAGATTGAAGTTGTGGCTTCTTTCGATTGGATCTTAAGACAAGAAGCGGCAAAGAGCAATACATTAGTATGTTACTCAAATAAGCAGAATCGATCACTGAAAAGTGATTTTTCAGCTTTTGCGTTAACTAAATAGAAAATATACCCGAAAAATTTTCAACTTATTTAACAGCTTTAATAAAGCTTTTTTTGAGCAAAGATAAAAAAGTTTTTAACAGAAATTTGAGAATTTTTTTAATAGAATTGTAGCTAGTATAAAAAATATTAGAAAATCAAGCCTTTTCAAGTTTTTTTTTAATTTTGGAAAATTTATGTGAATATTTTATGTCCCAAAATAAAAATCCAGGTGTTTAAAAAATTATAACATCTCCGATATAGTGTAACGGCTAGCACGGTTCGCTTTCACCGAGCAAACCCGGGTTCGACTCCCGGTATCGGAATTTTCTTTTTTGGACTTTGTTTCTTCAATAACAATTTTTTTTTATCTTCATCAGCATGAAACTACTAAATGGCTTAATGCAAAAACTTTAATTTCTATATACTAGTTTAACTAAAATCCATGGAATCAATTTATTCCGTTTTGTTCTTTAAAAATATCCCAAGATTTATTCAAAATGATAAAAACACCTTGACAAATCATTTGATCTTCTGTTTCAAATTTACCCAATTTATCAGGATGAATCGAACTAATAACTTTCATATAATTGATTTTAACTTTTTTAGGTAACATCAAGTCATTGATTGTTAGTTTTTTCGTAGTAATGAATGGGAAGCCTAATCTTTCCGGTAAAATATTAGGCAATGACATTAATAAACTTCTTAAATTATCTTCTTTACCTTTACTCCAATCGAAAAGTCTTTCTTGAATTTGATCATGTAGACGGAATTTAACATCTTCCTGATTCTTCTCATCTGCATTTTGTTTTCTGATACGTTCCACCGCTTCATAATTAGTATTTTTTGTATTACTAACAGGTTGTGAAGATGCTGGCTTCTTTGCAGGTGCAGGTTTGGGTGGATCAACGATGTTCCTGATTCTTCTTCTGGCATCCATGATTTTTTTATCAGTTACCCCAAACTTACTAACCAAATCAGAATAACAAGATAATGATTCTGGAAACAACTCCAACATTTCCAAACTTTCTGCTTTTCTTGTGAGGAGTTTCACATACCATACTTTAATTGGTTTGCCATTTAAAATCCAAGTCTCGTCCTTTGCGATTTCTTCATCACCAACTAGATCAAGCCCATCGATGCAAAATTGTTTTGATTCTTTATAATTACCTAATTTATTTGAAGTCAATGCAAGGTTGGAATTTATAATGATTCTCAATTCATGATTACTAGGTAGAGATTCAAGACACTTAATATATAAATTGTGAGCACCATCATAATTACCATTTGAAAAAAAATCTGAAGCCTTTTCTTTAGAAATATCATAGTCAGATTGTTGGAATTGATTTAATGGATCAGAAGTGGTTTTTCTTTGTTTTGGTTGAGATAAGAGTGGCGTGGAATTATTGTTATTACGTCTTCTGCGTGAGGAAACATAAACTTCATCATCCGGTGTTGAAGATTTGAACTTTTCAGCTCTCGATAATACTGGTGCTCCACCAATACCCAAGAGATCTGCCTGCGGGGCAGGTTTTGCGGAAGGTTTAGGAGAAGCAGAGGCACGAGAGGAAGATGGTTCCTGTCTTTGAGGTTTCGGCGGAGGTTGAGCAGTACGTTCGGGACGCAACTGTGGTGATGAATTTGAAGTTGGTGGTTGTTCATTAGAAGGTCTTTTCACGGGTGATGATCTACCCAGTCCAGAACCATTAATTTTATTCTTAGCGACTTCTTTGAAATGGTCAATTCTCTGTTTCAGTCTTTCCTTTTCTTTCTGTCTTTGTAGTTCCATAAATCTATTTATTTCTTCCTGGTTAATATTCTCCTCGTCAGATCCATAATCTTCGTAATTGCCACCAGGTTGTCTTCTTTCTATGGCATCTTTCTTGTACCTATGTTGATTTTTCATCCAAGCGGGCATATTGTTATTGCCTTTATTATCTGAATGCTCACCTCCAAAATCTTGTTGAATTTGTTCAATATTCTTCATGACAGTAGCCTTTGATTTATTGAAAAAGATAGAAGCCTTATTGAAAAAATCGCTCGATAAGTCATTTATATTGGAAGCGAAATCACCTTGCAGGGATTTACTATTTGACTCTTGAGTGTGAGATCTACGAGGTTTTCGATCATTAGAATCTCCACCACTCATGATATAATTGACACATGCTTGAAGATCAGGCCCCATTTTGGCAATTGCACCATTGGAGACCTCTATAGAGAAACCAATGTCTACAAGTTCTGCCAAAACTGTATCTTTCTTATCAGTTGAAGTTGCTCGATCAGGATCAGTTTCAGCTGGTTCATTTGACTCGAAATCATTTGACTCGAAATCGTCTGATTCCAATTGGGAGTACTGCTGCAAAGTATCGTCAGCACCCTGCTCAGAAGTGAAAGCGTCCTCAAAATCATCATCTAGTAATGAATTACTATTGATTTTCTGAGGTGCCGGTTGAACTGGTGTTGGTTTGACTTGTTCAATTGATGAGTTTTCCCGCGAGACCGGTTTTGCAGGTGCTGGGGACTGGAAAATGTCAAAAGGATCATTATTTGATCCGCTGGCCAGTGGCATAGCAGGAGAATCAGTTCTACTCAAAGAACCAACTGAGTTTGAGTTCGAGTTTGAATTGGGGCGAGGTGACGGTGACAATATATCAAGGTTCGACCAATTGCTAAGGTTGTTAGCCGGCTTTTGTTGTTTCTGTTGCTCCGCTAGTGAAAGATTCTTATTATTTAATGACGAACTTGACGACGTTGCCGTTGCTGATTGAAATAAATCAGCAAAAGCATCTTTCTTTGGAGGCACCATTTCGTTTTAAAGTTTCCCAGGTCAATGCAGTGGATATAGCAAGGCTCCCCTCTATGTGAAGACCTTCAATTGCTTAAATAAAAAGACCTTTCGGTTACTTCTTTAATATCAGCTTATTTTAGAGTATTTCATTTGTTTGAAACACCTTTCGATCGTGGAAAGATGGTCGTGTGAGAAGTCAACCTCTGTTTTTTTTTTTTTTTTTTTTTTTTTAAGGCTCATCTCTGACTTTTTCTAAATGAAAAAATTTGAAAAATTCATTAAACCTTCATTAAACCTTCATTAAACCTAGTAGGAACTAATAACAGAATACAAGATGCATTTGATGTACACCTTAGGTGCCGATGGCAAGAGAATCTACACTTTGAAAAAGCTTACCGAAGACGGGGAAATCACCAAGTCTGCTCACCCAGCCAGATTTTCACCAGATGATAAATACTCCAGACAAAGAGTTACTTTAAAGAAGAGATATGGTTTATTACCAACCCAAGAAAACAAAGATTAAACCAGGGGCTTGCTGGGGGTCTACGGTTCGTGAAGTTTTGGTTGTATAATCAGATGAACTGAAGGATCATATTAAGAATAATATTAATATAAGAAGAATAATATAAGAATAATAATAATAATAATAATAATAATAATAATAATAATAATAATAATAATAATAAGAAGAATAATAAGAAGAAGAATAATAATAAGAAGAATAATAATAAGAAGAATAATAATAAGAAGAATAATAACAAGAATGATAATGAGAATAATCACATTTCATAGTATATCATAATATATCATAATAACAGGGACATTGCATAGAGTTTCGTATTCCCTGTTTCTTTTCTGTACTATATCATAGACCCATGACGTCTAGATGATACTTTTTGTTTAGTCATGTACTTTTTTTCCGAATTTCAAATTCATTTCCTATTTCACTAGGTTGTTCAATACATTATATTGGTTCACGTTTTTCCCCAGTAGCTTGTAAGTTGTATTCGTAATTCTTGGAATAGTTACTCCACATCTTAGATAACAACTCAGTATCTCTGTTGTTCTTATTGATTTCACGTAAGGATTCATTCATACTGGCTATAGAATCATTCAAATTACCCTATCCGGCTGGTTAGTACTATCGATTGAGATATCGGCCACTTGGTAACATACCATATTGTTCACTATACGCGACAACAACGCATTCTGGACCTGTTCGTGTGGACTGTCCATGGTCATTACAGAAAACTGAAGTAGTTGGTTGTATTCATTCACGTCTTGTTTATTTTTGATATCTTTCAAATAGAAAAAACACCCGTGCACCACAACTTTACATAGTATAATAAAAGTATTACATTATCTATAGACATAAGAAGAGAAGTGAATTATGCTTGAAGTGCTATTGGATGGCTCAACATTGTTTCGACGATAACACATAATCTGCTACCAAAGGACGATGATCACTCATATACAACCCATCAAATTTGGAATGCATTAAGCCAAATCCATGTAATTTCAACGATAAGTATTTAGAAGCATTATTTTCGTCTTTAGAGTTACAATTTGGTTTTTGATCAATTTTAGTGGCATATTTCGGAGCGAAAATGTAATCAATACACTCACCACCATTAGCTAAATATTGACCTTCGAATCCCGTAATGGTTGATTTCGAATGTCCATAATGATTGAAAGGAGTAGTTAAGGAAGACAGGTCCTTTAATTTATCAGTCAATAAGGTATAAGCGTTTTCGGTTACTGGAGTATTCAAATCACCCATCAAAAATGAAGGCCATTCATTAATTTGAGCCATTTGTTTAGAAATTAATTGAGCTGAACCAATACGAGCAACTTCTCCAACATGATCGAAATGGGCATTGAAAATATTGATGTAATTACCGGTATTACGATGTTTTAAAGTAGCCATGGACACAATTCTCAAATATTTAGCATCCCAACCTTCCAAGGCAGTTCTTGGATCCTTTTCATTAAGCCAAAGAGTATCGCTGAAAACCAACTCCCATTCATCGTTTTTATAGATGATTGGAACAAACTCCCCGGTATCTTTACCATCAATACGTCCTTGACCATAAAAAGACCATTCTGGTTTATTGGAAGGCGAAAATCGGTTTAAATCTGCCATTATATCATCTAATTGGAAACGATAAACCTCTTGTAAAGTAACAACAGTATTAACCATCGAGTTCAACTTGATGGAGCTGGTTATCTTATGGAACCTATCGGCCCAAGGCTCTTCTCCTTCCACTAAATCTTGATGACCCCCATTCTTGACGTTATGAGAATAAATCCGGAATTTAAGATTTTCAATTTTTTTATCAGTGAAAAAACTAGGCACATTGGCAAAATCTTTATCTTCGATAGTAGCTGGGATATCTGGAATATCAAATCCATTAGGACCCGGTGCCCCAAGTGGAGGTTTATCATTGGCTTTTGGTTCTTCACCTTCATCATATAATCCAGATAATGCATCCTTATCTTCTGGGCTGATTTCGGTGGTATCTCCCAAAAACCCGTTTGGATTTTTAGAATCCTTAAGTTTTTTCGATCCCTTTTGCGGTTTCTTCCTTGAATCTTGATAGTATTGAAATGCATTAAATCCTTCGTTATCTTCGTTATTCTTAGCTCCTTTCTCCTTATCCGCTTCCTTCCCTTTCTCCTCTCCATTCACTGGATTCTTATAAACAGGGGCCTTGGGCTTACCTTGTTTCTTTGAATCTTTCGACTTACCCTTCTGAGCATCTTTGGGTTTCTCCTTTGGCTTATCCTTATTCCCATCAACCTTCTTATTCTCCTTCCCCTTACCACTCTTCCCCTTATCTCCGTCACCTTCCTTGGAGTCCACCGGTTGATGTATTGGCGGCATTTGACTAACCTTCTTAGCTTCATTTTCTTCAAGACTCGTCAAGACGGTCTTGTGAATATCTGAAGTCCATAAAAATATAATTGATCCTATAAGAACAACGGTGAGCACCACCAAACGGATAGTCTTCGTGCTTTGTTTCCTGGTCATCTTCTCCAACACTATACCTAGCTATAATGCTCCGATCTCTTGAAGAAAGCTTGATGATATACTATTCAACGGGGCAGAGGCAGTTCTTTTGCTGTGAAGTTGTCGGATGCGAACTCTTTTTTTTTTTTTTTGTTCGTTTGTTTGTTCCTTCCTTGACGGTGCTACTAAACAAACAGATTGGTCATATTGTCATTGACAGGTTCGTTGGGAAGTCTTACAAAGATGATGAGGTGAATAAATAGTGTATTTACAGTATAGTGTAGTGTATAGGTGTAGGTATAGTGTAGCAGAACACTGCCTTATTCAGGTTCTTCCTCCAACCACCAGTCTGGTTGATAGGCCTTGATCCCAACTTTTTTAACTCCTTGCTCACTGCCTCCTTGTAAAGAGGGAATGCCCATTTCGTAGAGAGTGTTTGCGTGTAAGTCAGAGGTGTTCATGAGCATGAAGCCCAAGTTATCAACAGATGAAAGGATTTTACCCTTTGACGTTTTTCTTTTACGGACCGGTTTAGAAGTCGAGCCAAATGGAGATGGGCCGGATGATGCGATGGGTTTGGATCCAAAAGGATTATTTGCAGCAGCGGTCTGTGGTTCTGGGTCGTCTGAGGAGTTTTGATCGTGAGATAACGCAGATACATCGATGTTGCTGATGGTGGAAGAATTGATGTTTTTCAAAAGATCGATGATGGGGTCTTCACGGTCTAATATTGGGTAATCTTGTTGGGCCATGGTTTCCATGTTTGTATCGTTGATTTCGAAAAACTGAATTGGGACAATTCTCTTACGTATGATACCATTATTAAAAGTTCTGATAGTTAATTCTTGTCCAACATAGCAGCCCTTTTCCAACGATAAGCCATTGACATAGTCTAGATTGGTTTCAAAAGGAAGTAGCGAGGTGCCCTTTGGAGCATCGGCGATTTCAAATAGCCCATTGATATACCTTCTTTTAGTAACGTATTCTTCCGAAGTGCATTCGATTGGGAATTTGGCAAGAAAGTTTTGACTGAAAACTTCGTTCAAAGGAATTTTAGCATCATCGGCCTTATCATCCACCACCAACTCCTTGTTGGTGATGATTTTGATCCCAAAATTGGGAATTCTATTGTCTATAGCAAATCCCACGATATTCGAAGCATACTTGGAGTTGAATAATACTTCTTGTCGTATAAAAGAATTGGTTTTTTGTAAAGCATCAATAGGATCAAAACTATTGAAATGATTGAACTGTAAATCATCTAACCATTCATCAAACTCAACACTATCATTATAATAATAATACGAATGTAAGTCTTTTCTATGGGTAATTTTTATTCTAGAGCTAAGTTTATGCAACCTTAATAACATCTGTAATTGACTAACGAAACCTTGATCAATTTCAACCAAGAAATTGGGCTCCAGCATCTCTTCGTCAAACTTTCCTTCGTGATTATGAAACGGTTGACTGTATAAGAAACAATCATTAACGATTCTTCCCTTTGAATTCAAGAACATAGAATTGATTCCATCTCTTCTAATCAAGATATTTTCTTCAGGATCATAAATGTCCTCATGCATCAACCCCCAGTTCTTATTTAGATCAATAACCTCATCCAATTTGGCATGTTTATCTTCTTTGGCACTAATAGTATGTTGCTTCTTCTTAACGATATTTGGAAGTAATCTCAGTGTAATTAAACCGTTCAAAAACTTGGTGGCATCAGGCCCCCGTATCTGAATAAGTGCCTTCAGTAGCGGCGACACTCCCAACTGTGGAATCCTCATGGCTAACGTAATTATAATTGAAGAGTTGCTTAGTAAAAGACTTTGGTGAAAAGAAAAAAAAAATCGTCAATACAAAAATGCGTTAAAGGTTTTTCTTTTAAAATTCGCAACTATAAAAACTAGCTAAAAACATATATAAACTAGAACTTGGATACTTTTACTTGTCTTCCGACTTGGTGTTTTGGTCTTTGAAAGACTTCAGAACTTTCGTCAGGGTCGTTCAAGCTCAATTGAGAAAGCGTATCTTGGCTATGAGATAATCGATCTCTAATCCGTTCACTTAAAGAGAGTTTTTGTTTAACATCATTTTGAGGAATGTTCTGAATCTTCATCAAGTCACTTGAAGAGCTGGTTCTGGAGCTTAGTTCAGAATGGCCTTTACTTTTTGTAAATGATTGTACAGAGGAATTATCTGCTCTGAGATCTAATTCACCAAAGTCAAAGTATCCATAGCCTCCCAATACATCGTAATCATCTGAATTCAGCGAAGAAGACAGTGATCTTGTACGAGACATATTGATGGACTCCAAAGGTATAGTTGTTTTGTCGATGGTGAGGTCGATAGGATGCTTTGTTGAAGGTAAATCCTTATTAATATTTTTCCATTCACTTTCTCTTCTTAGTTTCTGTAATTCATTTTTACGAGCAGAAGAGTCAGTAGATAAGTTAACGAAAATATTCAGCTTTGACTTGAATATATTTCGAATATCGTTAGTGATACGAGTGAAGGTGTCTAAAAACCGATCTGTTTGACGATGTTTGGACAGAATGGTTATTTGGACTTTATCCTTATGGATTATATATCCAATACCAAAACCTTGATCAATAGCAGGTGGGATACCAAATAAATGTAATGCAGGGTTACCGCAATTGCTTATTAATAATTCGGGTTTGGTGATTCGATCAACAAAGGGATTCAGTAATAATGAAATCTCATTAATATTCTTCAAGTTCAAAGGAGTTAAATTGTTGTTAATTTTGTTTAAATAATCCACAATTTCGTGATTGTTCAAAATATGTAAGATTGAAGTGAAATGACGTTCAAAGCCTTTACCAAGCATTGCATCATGATACTGTTGGCCATGATCACGGCAACATTCAAGAAACATATCCCATAATGATTCACGATTTGAACGAGTAATGTATTGTTTGCACAAATTAAAAATTTTTTCATTTTGGATTGGAATTAACTCAGTACGAGAATCTTTAAATTTTCTTGTGGTTATTGGTTCTAAAGTGTTTGCCATTTTACCGTATAAGGTATAGTTACTGATTTGGAAACAGATTTGTAAGAAAGAATCAATTGAAATACCAATATTATTAACAATGTGGGTATCTAATTTCAAATTTAAAGTTTTATATTCATGTTGACTAATGATATCTGCTAATCTTGTTTCTGATAAATGAATCAAATTTTGTAATTCGGGAGTTTTTTTGAAGAGTAACTGAATTTTATTCGGTTTATCAATTTTACTCAGTACGAATTCAACGTTATTATCGAAAAGAGTATATTCTGAGCCATTGATATTTCTTGCTAATTTTAAGATCAGATCAGTATAAATATCACTTAAAAATCTAAGAATGGCAGTACTATCCATTGAGGTAGATTCCCAAACCACACCAGCAACAGAGTTTGAAGTTACAATGATTTGCAACTTATCATACCATCTAGAAGTACAAGACCCAATTTGAATATTAGTACCTTGTTTCAAAGTAGAAGTACCATGACTTATTACGGAAGTTTTCAGTTGATCATCGGTTGGAGAATTCTTATTATCAAGGATAACCACGAACAACGCATTATCGATAATTTCCAAATTTCCTTTACTTGCTTTTTGTAATTCCAATCTACCTATTTTCCACTGAGAGTAAGATTGAGTGGTGATTGACCCAATTGAGTTATTAATTGAATCAATGTTATCGACCTTATCACTTTCTTCGATAATTGAATTCAAAATTACACTCAATTCAAAATCATTAAACCAAATATTGTGATTTGAATTATTAGTTTGATCCTCAATCCTGGTAAGAACTTCCAATTGATAGAATTGATTATTACAGATAACAATAATATGACGGGATTCATTGTACAGAGGTGATTTTTTAATCGAAATACTATTGATTTGAGATTTGGATTCTCCGGGAACTCTAGTGGTACCAAATAAATTACGATAACAATTCATGGTTAAAGGAGTATTGTTTTTGGGAGTTAAGTCCGGTTTCAAAGTTTCGTTTCGAAGACTCACAATAAACTTAAGCGACGAATTGATCAAACTAGCAGCCCTTTGTGCTTGATTTGGTGGATTTATCGTCTTGGAATATGGATCTTCCTCCAATATCAAATATGGGTTCCTTGGTAAAATATCTCCTCGAAGCTCTCCATAAATCCCCGGGTTTGTTTCGTCATTGATCGACGATAAGTAGCACGTCAACTCGGGATTGCTTTCATAAACTGCCTCCAAATGCTTTTGAATCAACAAGATCGTGTCATCGTTAGCAAATTCGTTCATCTCTTGAACCAAATCAAGATACTCATCTGGGGTAATCAATGGCTGAAGCGCACAAAGTAATCGTTGTGTCGTGGCCTCCAATGAAGGCACAGGCAAGCATGGCAAGTCCTGCTCGTACTTGTATGTGGAACTCATGGCTACTCTCCCGATATCAATTAACTCTCGATCATGGCAAAGATCCTTTTATAATTAAGGACTCTGTTTGAAATGTGGGGAAATCATACAAAATTCGGTAGCATCATTTCCTTGGGACGGCGCACGACCCAGGTCCCGGTTTAGATCCGTACCTCCAAAAAAGGATATTAGCTCCGTGCCCCCTCTCCCCCTTCAATTGTTCTTAATACCAGCAAACAAGACAATTCTTTGGATTGTAGAATTCTTGAATAGCATTTACATTGTTCGGGACATATTTCCTCCAACAGGCTCTTCTTGGAAAAGAAGAGGACGTGGATCCATCCGCCTCCCGTGCTCTAGTGGGCCCGGCGAGTGCTGTTAAGGAGACCAACGTAAAGACCCACTTTCGGGCTACGCTGTGGGCCCATATATGTGTTTCACGAAGGCATTACTTCGTTGTTTGCTGTAGTGGACCCGGGGTTCCTTAGTCTTTTGCAGCAATCAGCGAGAAGAGGCCCGTGCACCAGGAGTATAACCCCCTAAGGGTATTCATATATTATTTTGCAATCACTTATCCTGATAATTATCAGCTTATCTTTGCTCTTTCTCTTCTTAGAATACGGAGACAATACGAAACTTATTTTTGGTGTTCAGCCCTACAGGTAAGATAACACGTTGTTTTAGACCTGCTCGGGGCCGGACGCTACATGTCAATACTAAGCCCGTAGTTTGCAAAGATTGCCTATCATGAGCTATAGCTTTTCTAATGCTGGACTGCCCTTTTCTAAGCCTGTTCTCCATAACCACTTTAAATTCAAATACCGTTGGTACAACACTCATAGAACTGCACAGTTTCCGCTAATTCGGGGTCTGTATGTCCAGCATACAATTTATGGCATGCCACTAAATCCCAAGAAGTTTTGATAATATTTTAAACCTAGCAAAGACCACCTAGTTAAGACCTTTTTGGTCATACCAGCAGCTGAGGTTTTTTACGAATGTTTGGAGGCTTATCAATACGAAATACAATGGCTAAAGTTGAGCTTCGAAAATTTTTAATCGTTATTTGCGTCTTTTAAACTCACCTCGCCAGTTATCTCAAAAGAATGCTGGCGTAACATTGCATTTCTGAATTGAGTGACGGTCTAATAATCGGCGAACAAGTTGACTTCAAAAGTAGTGTTTTGGGAAAGCAAATAATCCTTTGCCAATGTTACATAGCTTATGCATGAACTCCTTCGATAGCGACCGGCAAATTTGACCTTTTTAACCGTGATGAAAAGATTTCCAAGGGTCCCTTGAGAGCTAAGTCCCCACTTTGCTTCAGTATCCTAGAGATTTACTAAGCTGACTAACTGTAAATGCAACTGGTTAGGTCACTTTATTTTCTCATCGAAATGCAACTCTTATCCTCAATTCTTTGCAGTATTTTCATGGATTTTTTGCTACTGGTTTTCTCTACCTACTCGTACCAAAAGAGAGAAGCTTTCGTTTATCATACCAAAAGGGAGAAGCTTTCGTTTATCACACCGAAAGGGAAGGACTTTCGTTAATAGTTGATTTTGGTTGGGGCAAACGGAAGCTACCCTTGCTCCGGATGTATTCACGCATAGATAAGTTGCATGAAGCCCAATGTCGGAAATGCGATTACAAAGTCTTTTTGGATCGGTTGCAATCGGAAGTTAAGACCTACAGAAACGAATTCAAGACTGAATATCATCATATTAATCTATTTATAACAGTAACTACCCAATAAATGTAAACGAACGAATTGAAGTTTTAAAAAAAAAAAGAAAATAAATAAAACATGTAGCAAGAAAGGAACGGGAAAGAGGTTAAAAAAAGGAATAACAAAAAGAATAAATGCATATCATAAGGTCATAAGAAATCGGTTCAACCAGAATAGGGAGGTGTTTTATTTCTGAATTAATCTTCTAATGAAATTAGAGTTATCATAAAATTCTTCAGTTTTGGGAATTTTTTGAGCATCTAAAGTTTTAGCTTCATCCATTAAAGGTTTAATACATAACCAACCAGTTTCAGTTCTGAAATGTCTTGATAAAGCATCACTTCTAGCAAATTTCTTACCACAACCCCATCTTGTTTTACCATCTTTTAAGAAACCTTCACATTTAAAATTCTTCTTGCCAGCGTGTAGTAATTCGTGTCTTTTCTTATCATGAGATCTTGCAAAAGCTTTTGAGCAAATAGAGCACTTGAAAGGTTTTTCGGTTGAATGAGTCTTCATATGAGATTTCAAATTATAAGCTTTTTGGAATACTTTTGAACATTGCAGACAAGAATATTGCATATCGCCAATATCTTTTGAATTACTCTTGGTCGATCTTCGACGTCTTTTCAAGCTTGGACTGATAGTGTAACTAACTATGGAAGAATAATCAATTGGTAATTTTTCTGGTGATGAACTCGATTCTTTATCATTAAGTGAAGCAGGTAATGAAGCAGGACTTATAGGATAAGTTTTTGGTTGTTGCTGAGAATAATTATAAAGATGAGGCAACACCGGATGTTGAGTATCATAATGCATTTGAGGATGCAAAAAATGATTATATTGATTATATTGGGGTTGTTGGTGATGGTAATCACCAGTTTGAAGACTTGGTGATGAACTTGGTGCTAAATGTGTTGGGGTGGTAGCCTGTTGTTGTTGATGTTGGGGAAATGGGTATGGTAAGTTAATCGAAGGTAACTTATTATTATCAACATATTGATAAACTGGTAATTGAAGTTGTGGCTGTTGATAATCCTGATTATAATATGGATAAATTGGTTGGAAAGACATTTTAAAAATTTATACTAAGCTTAGGTGATTGGAAATTAAGTGGATATAACCGAACTTAAATAGACGAAAGAAGGAATTGAACAAAGTATGTAATCTTAGTAAATTAAATTTATTTATAAATCTACAAACGAAAATTGTAGCAAATGTCTAATTTAAATACTTCGGTGATGTAGCTCAGCCAAGAAAAAAATCGGTGATTCAAATGTGCAATTAGAATTTTAAAAGGAAGTTTCCAAAAATACGTCAATTAAGTGGATAAGATAAAAAAAGAAAATAATCCCGCACTTGTTGTTCCAAAAAAGATAAAAAGCTTGAAGGACAATAAAAAATAAAAGGTATTGCTTGAAGTAAAAAATTAGCAAAAAAAAAAAAACAATAAAAAGTAAAAAATAAAAGAAGCTGCACCGGCCTATGCTAACAGGCTCAGGAAGCATCGGCAGTACGCTCAGCCTGTGCGCGTAGTCGACATTCTTTACCGGTTTTCTTGCTAATGGATGCTATTCTTAGAGAAGACCAATCGACCGTGATTTTCTAGCTTCTCTTTATTCTATCTTCATTAACCACAAGTCTAATGTTCCATAAACCTCCCCACAGTACCTTTAGTGGCTGCGGAAACTAGTCAAATCCCATTTTTCTTGGCACGTGTGAAGCGGATGGTACACCGTTTAAAATACGATGCGCTGTATTCAAGTTATTTTATTTTTGTTCTAGACTTTGATGCGAAGTCGGCCCGTTATTGCTTTCATGCAAACGACTCCAAATCGGGCGGTGTCTATTCCCGAATGCCGAAGACACGTAACCTTCATTCAATGCTTCTTTTCAAAATCACAGACAAGAAACGGTAAAATGAAATTAATGAGTGACTGCAGGTTCTAGGCAGCTAAAGATTATTATTATACGGTCATTAAGAAAGAGAGTACAAACAAATACCCCGTACTTCCAGCATATCTGTAGCAAGGCTTATCGGTATTTGCTACATACTATTTGTTGGGGAAGCTAGAGAAAGGGGAATGAACTCCCAGGCTGAGACTAGGACTTTTAGGAAGGGCTCAAACCAGGAACAAGGCTTTTTTCAATTACCGATGCAGTGGTGATTGTGCTCAACAAAAAGTGACTGTGATTCATTCCCCGAGAGTGATTCGCTTCAAGTACCAGGCTGCAGGACATTCCCCGATTGTCCTTTTTTTTTTTTTTTTTTCTTCCCGATTATTTTTTTTCGCCCGATAGCCCAAGTTTGGAAGTTAATAAATTCTATTTATATTAGGCACTCGGTACTTCAATTTTGGCCTATGATAACCACGGTTTTTGGTCAACTTTAAGTTGTTTATAAATTTCACCCATATCCCTTTGTTATTCATCTTTGTCTATGTGAATAAAATAGTTGTAAGCGTTTTTGTGTCTAATTTGGACGTACAGGTTCCTATTCTGTGAGTTTCTTAATGCGATAATTCTTTTTTTTCTCTACTTGTTTTATTTTTTGACCTGTTATATTTTTTTACTTGTTTTATTTTATTTTTTTTTTTGTTCAGTTAGAGCAAGACGTTGCCAAGAATAACTTTCGTGGCTTTCCTCGTAATTTGACGTCAAAGCACATTAACAAATCACTCACTAAATTGTTGTCAAACACTTTTCAACGAATCAAATCACTCCTTGCTATCGATAACAGGCTGATACCCGGCAGTTACCGACAGGTAAGTGGTGGCTTGCAAGAATCTCGAGTTCAGAGACAATTTATATACTAATTAACCCGTGGGGTATTACATAGTGCACTATTGGCTATTGATTTGTATATTGAAAATTAGCGTGGTACTTAATTACCAACCTTGAAGTGGTATCCATATATCTTTAACTTTGTTATTTTTATCAATTATAAAATACCAAGTATGCGAAGCTGCAGTTATACACGAATGTTGCGGTACAATTTCTATTTTAGTACCCAAAGGAATGAAATTGACACCTTCTCTTGTAGGCTCAAGAATTCCATGTTCTTGACTTAAACGTCCAACGATCCAATCTTGGTACAATTCAGGGGAAATGATTTTCCCGAATCCTTTCATTGGACCTGGTTCCCTGGCTAATGCTATGACACCAGCGTTGATCAACTGTTCTCCTGGTAATGTGCTACCCCTTTTTGGATAACTACTGACAACCTCCGCTAAAAGTTTCAAAGAAACATCTTCTTGTCCAATACAATTGGTTGATACTTGTTGAAGGTCACAACATGGATAGTTTCCTGCATGAAGCTCTACTTGTCCAACTAGATCAATTCCATCTAATAAATTTTTAAAGTTTGCTGATGAATGAGCAGTAGGTGTGGCCCCTACTGACAACTGCAATCGTAAGGAAGGGTCTATTGAAATAGCCATTTTTGCAGCTTTATTTGCGTGGGTTATCTCCTCAACTAAGAAGGATTTAGCTTCTTCAATTGATTTAGACTTATAGGAATGACCTGCGTGGCAGTAAAAACCATATATTTGAACATGCTTTTTAATTTCATCACTTAATGCGTACTCTAATGTCTTTTGGAGCTCAATGGTATCATTAATTAACCCTGCTCTATCAGTACCCATATTAATTTTAATGAAAATTGACCATTTTTTCATCTCACCCCTTTTAACCCGAAAGTTCTTTAAAATATCTAATTGTTCAACATTATCCAACATTAATCTTAAGTTTTCAACGTTTTCAGATAACTCTGCTAATTCCTCTAATCTAGACTGTACCACCGGTAAACTAAATAAAACATCCTTGATTTTTCCCTCCTCAATTAAAGGTTTTAACCCCCATGCTTCTGCCAATGTGGAAACAACAATCTTATTGGTCTTATGATTGGATGCTTCTCCAAGTTGCAATAAAGTTCCCTCTAAGGTCTTATGTGTTTTCACGTGTGGGCGAAAGTCAACATTCAATTCTTTAGCATTTTCAAGCATTCGACTGCAATTTCTTGTGAAGACGGTTTCGTCAATCAAAATAGATGGCGTAGGCAAGTCTTGAACTGACTTTCCTCCGTAGGCCTTCAATAACTCTTCCTTGCTAGGAAACCCCCCAAACTGATATGGATATTTCATGTTCTCTTCCGGTTTAAATCTCCGAATAGATCAGTTTATTGGGATTCACTTTTCAATTTATAATTCCTCGACGGAAGATCGAATGAGGTTCCCGCACAGTTTCCGTCTTGTCGTATCAAATTTTCTTTTGGATTTGGCAGCATCTTTTTTCTCTCACCCCCCGGTGGAGGGCATGCGGTGGATGTCCCTTGAGTTATGGGGGAGACTCAGATGCCCTCCACTGAATCGAGGGGGAAGCGATCGATTCGGATTCAAACCCTCCACCGCTGGCACGATAAGAATTTGGCGGACCAAAGTCGACCCGATAGCATTATTCATAGATACTAGCATGTATTTATACCAACGGTATTCTCTATCTGAAGAAGCAGACAAGTAACTCACCAGCAATGTCATCTTACAATCTTCAATCTGATTATTCCTTTGCGGGAGGAATTCCTGAACCACCATTCAAAATTGATAAATCAGTAAGTGAAAGAATCGACCCAGAATATGCAAGTTTTTTTGAAAAGCATTTAATTCAAAATTCAAACCTTCTTTACACCCATAGAACTCCGCTCGAAGTCACCAGAAAGGGAGGTAACGTTATTCCGGGTCAAACTCCATTGGCTCTGGATGTTTCCAGTTATGATATTAAAATTTCCAGAAAGCATACCCTGGGTGAAGAAATTCCGGCAAGAGTCTTCGTTCCGGCATCATTGGAAAACTCAGATAACAGGCCCTTGTTTGTTTGGTATCACGGAGGTGGTCATGTTTTAGGTAACATATCTACAGAGAACAGTTATTGTACAAAAGTTGCTTCTTATTCAAATTGTGTGGTGATGACGGTCGACTATAGATTGGCTCCAGAGAATCCTTTTCCAGCAGCTGTCCATGATGCTTTTGAGGCTCTCATGTTCGCTTATGAAAAGCCTGAAGTATTGAAAATTGATAATTCGAGAATTTCAGTAGGTGGAAGTTCTGCCGGTGGGAATTTAGCAGCCATTGTTTCACATAAGTTCTCTAACTTTGGCTCAGAGCTTCCTCCAATCTGTTTGCAATTACTAGTGGTTCCAGTTATTGATAACACCGCTACTGTTGAAACTCAACCTTCTTGGAGAGAAAATGAATTCACTCCTCAATTACCTGCTGAAAAAATGCTTTGGTACAGAGAACTCTACTTACCTAATTCACAAGACCATGATAACCCAGAAGCATCCCCTTTATTTTACTCTGATGAAAGCTTCAAGAAAAACCCACCTTGTCTAATAGCCGCTGCAGCTTGTGACGTATTAAGATCTGAAGCTGAAGCTTACAATGTTAAGTTGAAGAAAAATGGAGTTAATTCAGATATAATCATTTATCCCGGCGTTCCACATCCAGTCATGGTTATGGATCTGGTTTTAACCAAAGGTAAACAGCTTGTTCAAGATACAACAAGGGCAATTAAAGAAGCTTTGTATCATACATAGTCTCACACGTAATCTTAGCTCTACCTAAACACCGCTCCATGCAATTTTTAAATAAATTCGAATATTCTCGACCAATTTCCCAATGGCAATTTCGGTAAGCTTTGTAAAAAAACTTTAATAAGCCTACTATATTATTTTTACCAGGAATGGTTGCAAGATAACTTGCATGCAACTTTGTAGAATCGTGGAATTGCGAGCTAGTAAGGTTTTTAAATGAACCATGTTTAGATAAACTTTTTTTAATCCTTCTTAAGTACAGATGTGCGTCTTCCTTGTCTGGATAATAATCTCCTTGAATTCTATCGAAAATATTAGCTTCCGGTCCTTCCAAAGAAAAGTTATACGCAAAAATCACTAAAACAGCACTTGCAATGATATTTCTTCTATGTAAGAATGGATCACCATTTGGGTCATAACTATAAGAAATATCATCATTATCTTCTGATAGTAGCATTTCTGATAGAAAGAGATATGCATGGATAACACTGACTCCACCATTGATGCTATTTGACCAGTCATTAATCCTTGCTTCAACTCCTTTATACTGAGACATTCCTGCTTTTACATTCATTCTTCTAGGCGCACCAGCGTATATGATATAATCATAATGAGATATTCTCATGTAAATTTGTGAAATATGATAAAGTCCAAACTTACATCGTTTATCATCGAGTCTCAAAGATGGTGGAAGCTTTTCAACTTCTTCTTGTGGGAATTTTAAAGAATTCAAGGTATCACAACAACCATCTTTTGTACATATATCTACTCTCCATACATCAATAGCTAAAGAAATAGTCTGCTTCCAAGATTCTTTCATTGTATTCCATTCTAAAAAAGATAATTGTAAGTCTTTTTGTTGCATTTGGAACATGATGGTTAATAGGCCTGCTAACAATATTTTTTTACCAAATGCTCCGGTTTCGACTTTCCTTCTATGTAACAATTTTTTCAATGTAGATAGAAACTTAGGAGGGGAAGTAACTTTGGAAGGGTATTCGTTTTCGTTTTCCCACAATTCTTCTTCACAAGGTAATGAAAGTTTGATTTGATGGGCATAAAGAATTATCATATGACCGTAAACAGTGGCATGAACAGTGTCCAAGTAAAATGCCATTAAAGTGGCCCGTTTTATTGATTCGGCCTCTATCCATTTTTTTCCTACTTCATCATTGGAATGATCCCCTCCCAATACTGGCGATCTTCGTAAAAGTTGTACTTTTGAACCATGATGCAAATACGCTCTTTCATGTAAGAACCGGCTGGAGCTTGTAATTTCATAAGTTTCTAATAATAGTAGACTTTGAACTACCCATGCTTTTGCAGGTGGTTTGCATTCGCCATGAGAAAAGATTAACCATCGTAATGGGATCGCTATTTCATCTGCCATTAAATTTGGATTCTCAAAATCTTCTGATTTACCGGTACATGATGAAAGGCTGGTACCTAACATTATCATTGCAAGTAGTAATAAGGGATTTGACTCTGCTGTTGCAAATGAAGGACGATGAAGTATGGGATATTGTGGGTGATATATTAACCAGTAAATCTCTAAAGCACGCTCAAGTTTAGGAATTGAAAAGTCTATATTTGAGCCTAAGCTCGGAATCAATGTAATAAAAGAGTCCCTTAGTGACTCAGACACCAACTTTCTCTGGCTTGAATGATTCTTCAATTGGAAAACCTCAAGGAAATCAAACCCCTTGCTCCCATTTTGATGTGACAAAACATCAGACTCGTATGGAATGGAGTTTTCCTCGTGAAATAGCCACTCGATCAAATCTGAAGGCGATAATGTTTTACCTAACCTCGGAAATGAATCAGTATCTTGATAATCTTGTGAGTCAATGGTACTCAATACATTCGGGCTTTCAATATTTGGCTGGGTGTTTAAATTTAACTCTGGCAGTTGACGATTGGGGAATCGTACATTTTCAGAAGGGTTTGCGTCCTGGTTCAAATCGTCAAAATCCACCAAGGCTGATTCAAGTATCGAGTTTTCACTATTGGATTTGGTCAAATGCCTTTTGTAATGCTTGTCTTTGATATCACTTCGTGTAAATGTCATCAGGCATTGGGGCCAGGTACATCTATAGTTTCTGGAAACGTCATGATTACGCTTATGACGGGAAAGATGGTCTGCACGAGAAAAAGCTCGGTCACAGTCAGGGTAATCACAAGCAAACGTTCCATATACCCTTTTTCTTTTCCTTGATGGGCAGTCAGTCATGGTGCTGGTCTCATTGGGGATCTGGGGTGGTATATAGAATGATGAAAAATGGAGTATGTTTAACAACTGATAGCGGAATTTTCAGTTGACCGGAAGTGCCCTCCAGATCAGATCGGAAATGGATTCGAAAAAACCCTCGAAAAACCATTTGGTGTCCTGAGAAGACGAGCTTGTTAAACCTCGAAAGTGGAGGTGTTCCATGGATTCAGGTTTTTGCAGCTTCGAATTATGGGCTACGGATTATAAAATATATGATACCCTTAAGCATTTTGCTATGGAATAAATTTATGCGTAGAAGGTGATGGTACTACTGTGAACTAAAAGCAGGAATCTCGTCTCGTCGAACTTCTTGGTGATTTAATATAGAATCAACAGCTTGACTTTTCACTAGTCTAGAAATATAATATTAGAGTTAGTGTCTTCACTTTCAATTTTGGCTGCAAAAGGTGAAATTGAAAAGAAAAGTGTCAGAAGTGTTTGCTTGATTTAAACTTTCAAGCTATACAGAAAATAACAAGGAGAGACATTGTTGTCTGAACTTAGTACCTATTTTTTAAGTAGTTTCGATCAAAACACAAAAGAATGTATCCTTGATTATCTTCGGGAACGCCATAATATTAGCTCAGGTGTTTAATTAATCCTGCGAGCAACTACCTTAACGTATTGGCTCTCGTGTATTAAAGGACCAAGGGATAAAAGCTCATAATAAACTTTTTGGATGTTACACCTATTCCTTCATTTTGTGATACTCTGTATTCATTTCCATTAGTTTAATTGCATTCGGCTATTATTTCCCTTCTTCAGGTTTGGAAGATGTTGAAAAGATGATATAAATCATGATCTTCAATTTTAATTACTAGCTTCTTCTATTGCGACTTAATGTTCTTTACGTCTTCTTTTGTATCATGAGTACTTGCAATTTCGCAGCACTGTACTTCAATGATGCTGGCGTGGAAGAGAAAGTGCAAGTAGCCGACACATTAGTATTCCAACGTCACTAGTTGGCAAATTCAGCTTGGTAAAACCCAATGTGGTGGACTTTGACAAAATAATCAATGGCTGCTTAGCCAGATGGATTACTGATGATATTAACAATTATGCTCCTTAAATACTGACGGTGTTTGCCGATACTCTTCCCATTTACTGGAGGTTTGGTATCTTCAATGGCACGCACTGGATGGAAAGTGCTTCGAGTATAGGGATAAGCGAACAGAGCCTAGATATTGAAATAAAAAGGGTATTTATACTTAATTCCACAAGAGACATACAATATCACAGCTTCTGAAAAAAAGATCACCGAAGAGATAGAACTTTCATGGGAGAAATTCGTCCAAAGTCATTCTGCCATAGTTTGCTTGGAAGAATCAGAAGATATTGGTAGTTGGTTTATCAAGATTAGGCATGTTGGCATTCTCCTAAATACAAAGTGGGATGATATTGACTGTTGAAGTGCTTTTATTCAAACGCTATTGGAGAAAGAACACATTAGCCTGACCTTCTAATTGTAGAAGCTGAGGGGGTACAATCATTCAGAAGGATAGCTTACTAGCTTTAGAGAATGGGAAAGTAGTCAATTTAATAAAAGCTATAATAAACATTTAAATTTGCAACTATATAAATCTGTCTTATCCGAATAAACTTCCGAGGGCGTCGACCAATTTTCGGAAGTCTTTTCCTGAAGCGGAATTTTTACGAGTTTCGACTTTTTCAAATTCTACAGAGGATTAATGCTATAACATTTCATTAATAAGTACATAGTTAGTCTTTAGTGGCAATGACTTCGAGTTCGACTTTGATTCTGGCATCCATGAAAGCAGCAATAACACAGCTTCTGGCTGGTTTTTGTGGGAAATGACCACCGTATATCTTATTAACAGTTTGAGAGTAGTCAGCATGAGCAATAAACATCATAACTTTGAAAACTTTTGGAAGAGAAGAGCCTGACTTTTCTAAAACGTTCTTAACGTTAGCAATTGCCAATTCAGTTTGCTCCTCGATACTCTCTGGTATTTCGCCAGTTGCGTAATTCTGACCAACGATACCACTGGTAAATACATGTCCGTTAGAGGTCCAGGCAGGACCTAAAACAGGATGTTCAACACCACCAATGCTAGACCACTCTAATTTTTCAGCAGGCATATTATAACTTATCAGTATAGAGAGCAAGACTTCAAGCAAAGTAAAGAATTTGTTATATCCTTTATAATAACGAATACGTTGACGACAACGAAATGCAAAAAGATATCGGTGGATGGTGGCCCCCCACCAGGGGAATATCCTGGTGGGGGTCGGTTGCAATCTTAGAGTGGAGAGATAAAGATCTTACGCGCACTACGCTTATCAAATGCATATATTCTTTTTCGCAGATAATTGTAGATAGCCATTATTGGTTGTGAAAAAGTTGATATAAATAAGCAACAGAATGGTGAAGTTGTATTTAGCTGGTGGATTATTGAAGAGACTACAATGTCAAGTGCAATTAAAGATAATAAACAGTCTGGGGTGGATATCATACCTAAAACCTCTCTCTCTAGCCTGGAATGCGAAAGGCCAGCTTTGGATACAAGATATAAGGACCCAAAGCTAGAGAGAGCCATTTGTCGTAAGTTAGATTTCACTATTTTGCCAGTGTTGGCAATAGTGTATCTTTTCAATGGTTTAGATAAATCAAACATTAGTAATGCTAAGACCGATACCATAATGGAGGATTTGAATATATCTGGTAATCAATGGAACTTATTATTATCAATTTTTTATATTCCATTTGTTTTATGTGCTTTCCCCTTATCATTTGTGGTGAAGAAGTTTAATCCTGCTAGAATGATTCCTATCTTTATGTTTGGGTTTGGTTCTATAACTGCTCTTCTTGCAACTACCGCGTTATATAAAACCAATGGTTTCGTACTGCTTTTAATCGGTCGTCTCTTTTTAGGAGCTTTTGAAAGTGCTATTCTCCCAAGTATTATTTTTTATTTATCCCGTTGGTATAGACGGGCTGAGTTAGCAACCAGAGTAGCTATTTTTTATTCTGCTGCTGCGTTGGCAAATGCTTTTTCAGGCTTATTGGCTTATGGTTTATTTCAAGTGGAAAGCCCTGTTCTCCATGGTTGGCAACTCTTATTCTTAGTGGAGCTGGCAGGAACCTTGATATTTTCTGTTGTTGCATTCTTGGTTTTACCAAGATCAATTGAGCAAACATCTATATTTACTGAAGAAGAAAGAGAATATGCAAAGTATCGAATCGAAACCGATTCAAAATCAGTAACTGCTGACAAAGCTCCATTTAAAGAATCCTTGAAAGTTTTCAAACATCCCGTGTATTGGATATGGCTTCTAGTAGAAGTCTGCATTGGTGTTCCTTTGAACTCAATCAATAATTGGTTTCCACAGATTGTTCAGAATCTTGGTCATCCAACAACTGCCCAAACAAATTTGTACACTGTTGGTCCTAATGTCTGGGGTGCAGTGGCCTTGATTTTTTTTGCAATCGGTTCTGACTACTTCAAGATTAGATCCTTGTTTGTGTGTGCTGCTGTGATAAGTACTCTTATTGGCTTCGTGGTTTATGGCTGTGTTGATACTCTTAACCACATTCCGGTAGCTTACTTTGCTTGCTTCTTGATGACTACAGGTGCTTCCGCTTCCTCGGTGCTTACGTCCTCATGGTATACCAATAACACCCCTTCGGAATCTAGAAAATTAGCAATGGCTTCCATCGGTATACCTTTGGCTAATGCTGCTGGACTTATCTCAACTAATATCTTCAGAGCTAAAGATGCACCAAAGTACGTTCCTGCCTTAGGAATAACTGCTGGTTTTGGAGGGCTTGCAGTGGTCTTAATTCTTAGTCTCTATACGTTCATGGTGTTTGATAATAGAAGAAGAAATAGACTACAAGGTGTTGATCTTACTTTTGAAGATGTGCCTACGGCTGACCTTGCTGACGGACCACATAATCCAAACTTCAGATGGATGTATTAGTGTTTTCATGATTTTCTATGTTAATAAATTGTATTTTTACCATATAAAATGACCCGTAGAAACTTTTTGCAATCAATTCCAATTGCCATAAAATTAAGCCAAATCAATTTTTCACTCCTTTCATCCACATGGAATTCACGAACTCGATTCTTCCCCAACTATTTCTACGTTAAGCAGTTCGTGCTCCAGCTTGATTTATTTACCCCGGTCTTTTGAATGCCCAATGTTGCATTCAAAAAGACAATGTCTCCACCAGAAAGATTTCTGGTGGTGGGCAAAATTCTCCTCTTGTTCTCTGGTGGAGGCACCCGATTGCAAAAAAAAATTCAGCATTAAAACCTTATATCTTTGTTTGAAAAAGGAAAGCAAAATAGTATAAAAGCTCTTTATAGAGACTTTAAAAGAATTTTATGGTCTTCAATAAACTGGATGACAAACTATAATGACGGTTCCAGCAAAAATGGTAATCCCCAAGGGAATATATACACCAATTATAACATTTTTTAATGAGGATGACTCCTTAGACTTGGATACTCAAATTGAGCATGCCAAATTCTTATATGGTAGAGGTATAAATGGGTTGGTTGTTGCTGGTTCAATGGGGGAATCTGCACATTTATCTCGAGAAGAAAGAAACAAGTTGGTTTCGGGGATTCGACTGGCAATTCCAGACGAGAATTTCAAAATCATAGCTGGTGCTCCACCAATGGGTAATATTGAAGAAACTTTAATTGAATCCAGACTTGCAGCTGAATCGGGTGCTGATTTTATTATATTATTGGTTCCCGGTTATTTTGGACCCAACTTGATAAGTCAACAAGGTATAGTTGATTATTTCACCAAAGTAGCTAATAACTCAGCATTACCGGTAATAATTTATAACTATCCTGGGACATGTAACGCAGTTACGATTTCGATTGACTCGTACCACAAATTGGCATCAGTTCCAAACATTGTTGGGGTTAAACTTACTCACTTCAATTTGGATCAATATGCCTTACTAGGTAAAAACGTCGCTATTTGTGAAGAAGATAACTTCCGTCCATTCACCGGTTTAGGACAAGTATTGATTCCATCGTTATCGGTAGGGATTTATGGAGCAATCGATGGATTATCGGCTATTTTCCCAAAAGTAATGGTTAAGTTATTCAATTTATTCCACGAAGGTAATCTTGCAGAAGCTAGTCAGTTGCAGTATTTAGTCACAAAGGCAGACATGATGATTATGAAGCTTAATGTTGTTGGAGTCAAGCATGCTCTTAAAGAAATTCATGGTTTTGGTAGCTCAACCCATGCAAGACCACCTTTGGGCTCTCTTGATGTTAAAGAATATGAAGAGTTCATAGAAGACTTGGATGTTTTGCAGAAATTGGAAAATTCAATTTAAGTATAATTTGTATATTCAATGAACATCACTCGATAAGTATTAGGAGTACAATAAGATCATGTAACACTGGATAGCTGTTCAAGTACATACCCATTTCAGTTATTTGGGTGCAAAATTGGAAATTTTTTGTCTTTGAAGGATATTCGCAAGTGAAAGCACAATGGTTTTGCACAAATAAGACAACCACATCTTGCCTTGATCCCTTTCCGAGTCATTACACCCCAGATCTTCCACAAATATGATCGAGATTGAAAAATTTGGCAAAAAAGAAGAGTCTACAGCACGATGGTTTCCATTATGGTCTCCCACTAACGTACTCAGCATCGCTCTCAGCAGCTTAATAATTATTGATCGGACGGGTAATCATGCTTTATGCTGGATATGGCCGTAGACGAAGGGTATTTTTTGTGGGTAATGGTATCAACATAAGACTAGTGATGTAGGACGACATCTGTGCAGCAACATCCGTACACCAATACTATAAGTAAGAAATTTGACGAATCGTATCGAAATACTCTGATGAAGTATATTTCGGGGTATATAATTACTTAGAAGGTTTGATTTAAAGTCAAGGACGTGTGCCTTTTTAGGTTATTCAAAAAGTAAAGTTTTGGTAGAAATTCATACAATTTGTAGATTTTGCTGCAAAAAACAAACAAAATTTAACTTACAAATCTACGCAGAGATGAAAAGCTTTGCAAAATTGAAAAAAGTGTATTAGATAGTCTATCATACAACGTGGTAATGAAAAGCCCTCTTACTAAAGTGTACAGCAACCCAAGTCATGATTAACCCAAAAAGACTCAAGAAAGCCGTGTAGGTAAAACCAACGAAATACTCGGGAGCATCGTTTGTATTCCAGACAAATAGTGGTACGACGCTTCCAATCACATATGCTAGTACGTTGGTTAGCATGACCACCAAAGATCTTTTTTCGTCATCACCGACCAATTCTCTGTTAACCCAGGAAAATATTTGAGGCTGGACCCAGCCAGAAGGTAGACTAATGAAGATATAGCAAAACCAATGTAACCATGTTGGGATATTCCAAAAGGCCAATAAGCTAGTTCCAAGCACCATTGATATGAAATATATCAGAATGAATATATGATTCATTTGACCTCCAAGATAGTCGGACAAATATCCAACCAATATAGCCAAAATCAAACCAGTAAGTTTTAAGTAGGAAGGATAGATATTATATTTTGAATTTGGTAATTTCAAGTCGATTTTCATCCAACTTATGAAGGTTGGTTGACCAATTGCATGATCAGAGTTATTGAATGCGTAAAATATTAGAGGAAATACCCAGATGAACCAGGTAGCAGACTGGTTTCTGGCTTTATTCAATCCCATATTATTCTTTCTCAAACCCATTATCAGTCTATCTTGAGAAGTCCAATAAAAATTAGTTGAGTTCTTGGGAACATTAGGATTTGCAATTAAAGTATAAACTGCAATGGGGAAAGTGATTGAGGCATCCACTAAGAATAACCATTTGAAAGCAGGGGTTCTCGAATGCTTGGTTTCACACTGTTGGATAACAAACTGCTGTAAAGGGCCGGCAATTATATGGGCCATTGAAGAAGATATTGCTAGTAGGGTTGATCTTTTGTTCAACTCTTTCCTAGTCCACCAGGATCCTAGTAAATATTCAAAACTTATGAAAACCGGGGCTTGTAGAAAGCCAAGGAGGAAACGTAGTACGTATAGCTGACCAAGGGTTGTCACGAAAAATTGCAATAACAGAATTAAAGTCCAAGAAAGTTGTAAGAAACCAAGGAAGTAGCGTAAATTAACTTTAGCAATTAGTTTACCAAAGACCAAATGTCCCACAAAATAAGATATTGACCATAAACTCAACAAGATATTATACTGGTTCTTATCCATTTCGAAGAAAACATCCATTCCATTGACGAATGATATGGTGATACTCGATGTAAGGAGTGATTTTGCAAAATACCCTAAACAGACCGAGCTGGTCAAATACCCATCGAGCTTGCTGATATACTCCTGTTCCTGAGGGGGTTTATCTAGCTTGTCGTTCCAAAACAACTTGAACTTGTAGGCTAAGCTAGATCTATCAACATCGTCATCTATTTCAATCGTGCTGACCGTGGCTGACGGCTTAAGTAGCTTCGTCCGTTCTTGCCCAGACATGCTGTCTAATTCGACAAGCTCATCCATTAGACTCAGGCCCATATACCTATACCTTTATAGCTGGATCAACTCGATCTGTGCAAAGGGGCTATCACCTGGAACCACAGTTTTTGTATTGTTCCTGTTACCGAGTTTCCTATTTGACTGCAAATAATGTGCACTATGGCGTTAGCAGGAGTTGCCATGACAGATTTTTGCAGTAAAGAACTATCTCAGAAGCCATTACATCCATCTACAGCTCCGTCCTTCTACCTCGTGCTGGGATGGTAAAGCAACAAGACCAGCCGGAAGTTGCAGCCACAGGACAAACACCAGTACACCAAGAAAACAAAAAACATCCGTGCATACCAAAGTCAGCAGATGTACGGGTGAATACCGAAATTGGATTATCACGTGACTGTGGAATTTTCTGGAAAGATTCCGACCGAATTTCCAGATTTGCTTAAAAGTGAAAATTTTGTGGAAAACTTTGAAAGAAACGAATCTCCGGATTATATAAACTAGTTTTCCCCAACATTTTAGCTTTTTCATAAAAGTTATTCAATTAGGTTAAACAAATAAACATAGTCAGCATGTTGAGAACTACTCGTCCATCCGTTAAGAAAAGCGTTGCTTCTTTAGTTCGTAACTATTCTCATAAAGAATTAAAATTTGGTGTTGAAGGTAGAGCCGCTTTGTTAAAAGGTGTTAATACTTTAGCTGATGCTGTTTCCGTTACTTTAGGACCAAAAGGTAGAAATGTTTTAATTGAACAAGCCTTTGGTTCTCCAAAAATCACCAAGGATGGTGTTACCGTTGCTAAATCAATTAATTTAGAAGATAAATTTGAAGATATGGGAGCTAAATTATTACAAGAAGTTGCTTCTAAAACTAATGAATCTGCCGGTGATGGTACTACTTCTGCCACTGTTTTAGGTAGATCTATTTTCACTGAATCCGTTAAAAACGTTGCCGCCGGTTGTAATCCAATGGATTTAAGAAGAGGTTCTCAAGCCGCCGTGGAAGCCGTTGTTAAATTTTTACAAGAAAATAAGAAAGAAATTAGTACTTCTGAAGAAATTTCTCAAGTTGCTACCATTTCTGCCAATGGTGATCACCACATTGGGGACTTATTAGCTTCTGCTATGGAAAAAGTTGGTAAAGAAGGGGTTATTACCGTTAAAGAAGGTAGAACTTTAGAAGATGAATTGGAAGTTACCGAAGGTATGAAATTCGACCGTGGTTTCATTTCTCCTTATTTCATCACCAACACTAAATCTGGTAAAGTTGAATTTGAAAATCCTTTATTATTATTATCTGAAAAGAAAATTTCCTCAATTCAAGATATTTTACCTTCTTTAGAATTAGCTAGCCAAACTAGAAGACCGTTATTGATTTTAGCTGAAGATATCGATGGTGAAGCTTTAGCTGCTTGTATCTTGAATAAATTGAGAGGTCAAGTTAAAGTTTGTGCGGTTAAAGCCCCAGGTTTTGGTGATAACAGAAAAAATACTTTAGGTGATATTGCCATCTTAACCGGTGGTACTGTTTTCACCGAAGAATTAGATTTAAAACCAGAAAATGTTACCATTGACTTATTAGGTTCTTGTGGTTCAATCACCGTTACCAAAGAAGATACCGTTGTCTTAAATGGTGAAGGTTCCAGAGATAACATTCAAGCTAGATGCGATCAAATTAAAACCGCCATTGAAGATCCTCAAACTTCTGAATACGAAAGAGAAAAAATTCAAGAAAGATTAGCTAAATTATCTGGTGGTGTTGCCGTCATTAAAGTTGGTGGTACTTCTGAAGTTGAAGTTGGTGAAAAGAAAGATAGATATGATGATGCTTTGAATGCTACTAGAGCTGCCGTTCAAGAAGGTATCTTACCAGGTGGTGGTACTGCTTTAATTAAAGCTTCTAAAGTCTTGGATGAAGTTAAAGCTAATGCTGCTAACTTTGATCAAAAATTAGGTGTTGAAATTATCAAATCTGCCATCACTAAACCAGCTAGAAGAATCATCGAAAATGCTGGTGAGGAAGGTGCTGTCATTGTTGGTAAAATCTACGATCACTCTGACTTCAACGTTGGTTACGACTCTTCCAAGAGCTCTTTCACCGATATGATTGCTGCTGGTATCATTGATCCTTTCAAAGTCGTTAAAAACGGTTTAGTCGATGCTAGTGGTGTCGCCTCCTTATTAGCTACCACCGAATGTGCCATTGTTGATGCTCCTGAACCAAAGGGTGCTCCAGCTGCTCCTCCAGCCGGTGGTATGCCAGGTATGGGTTTCTAAGCTAAGGAACCTTTTTAGTACGAGATTATGATATAAATACGTATACTTAACAATTCTATCCTGAACTTACTCTATTTATTCCCCTATTACTAGGGCCCTTTCTGTATATAGTTCATTAATAGGGTAATTATATTCATGTATTCAAGATATTTAGTACCTGTAGATTTTTTTTTTTCCCTCGAAAGCATTAGAAAACAAAACGCATCGCTTATGATTCACTCCCAGAAGTTGACTAAATACTACCAGAGAATGCTATAGAATGTTTGAAGAAGTCCACAGACATATCATATATGAAAAAGAAACTGAGTTCAATAAACTAGAAGCAAGATTCATCGAGTTGAATCATTTAAGTCATATAATAAAGTCAAATAAAGTAACCAAAAATCAAAAGAAGATCATAAAAAGTGAAAAAAACAAACAAAAACTTTTGAAAAAGATAAGGAAATGGTTGGTTCAAGACAGTGCTGCTCCTCAAGAATCCTTTGAGATATGGCATGAACACGTTAAGTCATCGGTTGATAAGCTTGATGTAAATGGACTTCAGATTGAGATTTTAGAAGAAATCAAGAAGTTAGAAAATGAACATACTGAGGATGACTCGGCTGACCTGCCTAATAATAATACCCTAGATGAAGAAGAGTATGGCCATATAGCTAATGAAACCGAAAGAGATGAGCAAAGGGAAAGGGATAGGCAGCAGAGAGAGAAGGAAGTATCCGAAGGGAAAGCCTTTGAAGTAAAATTAAAAGAAATGACAAATGGTAATGACAGTTCATCATGGACAAAAGTGAATCATTTTATAAGGTCAAGAGGCTTAGAGATGCTACCGGTTCATAATACAGAATCCAATGAAATACCATATAGACTCTTTCCAGCTGCCACGGTTCAACACGTGAATAATTTGACCACTCTTTTACATATAAACATCATGAAAAAGAATTGGAACCTTGCATATAGTATATTCTGTGTAATAATAAGAATACCTCATGTTGATATACGAAGCCTTTGGCCCCTTGGGATTGAAATAATTATAGGGAAACAAAGTGAATCACTGGATGGGACGAAACCAACAATATTTAAGGATGAAAAATTCTTTGATTGGCTTCTTTCTTTCTATGCATATACAGGTATACCTTACAGGCCAACCAGTGCCCAACAAAGAAAGTCAAACTCAGCTATTAACTGGAGATCAGGTTCAAAAACCTATAGTCCACTATTTGCAATAACATCACTTTGGAATTTGATGTGCAACAAGAATTATTTTAAATTTAACGAGAGGTTAGAGGAATTTCTCTTGCAACCTCCCTACACTAGTGATGGAATATTCTATTTTTTCAAGATCTTGTATCTTTTGGGTCAAAATTCTAGGTTAGCTACTAAGTTCATGAATCATGGAAAGCTTTTCGACGTTAATGATGACGAACAAGAGGAAATAGAAGATGCAAAGTTTAATATAGATCCGCTAGATACTAATAGTAAATCGTCAATATCTAAGTTGTATCTCTCGAATCAGAAGTCAATTACACAGCTCTTGGAAACATGTGATCAGTTAGGATTAGAGTACCCAAAACCTTCAGTGATTTCTCAAATGAAACGATTGCTGAAGAAAATTGGTATTGAGGATGGAGGTGATAATGGATCCGAATCCGAATCTGATTCTGATAATCAAGAGTCTGCTTATATGACAGCTAATTCTTTCGCCATCAATAAAAGTGTCAATGATGAAGACGAAGCACATGATTTACTGGAATTTTCTGATGATCCAGGTAATGAAGATAATGAGGATGAAAGGGATGAAATTACTGATAGACAAATCATGCCAAAAGATATTGAACTGATGGATTTTGATTTCGATTTCGAATAATTCTACATCAGAAAGTATATAAACATTAGGTATATTTATCGTTAATCATATAAAAGTTAAGTACGCATTATTTCATGGAGTTGCATCAGCAGGTTCATCCGTGATTCTCAAAGCAGCGGATTCAGACCTTGAAAGATGAACATTGTAGAAGTTAGCAGATCTTTTAGAAAGTGGTAAGACAGCCCAGTCAGGCGGAATAAAAGCACCACGGGGAAGATTAATCGTAAAGTTATTGAGTGAAACCGAAGACAAAGGGGATCCGGAAGAGGACGCTCCCACAGAAGTTGGTGCTCCAGCAGGAATATTGAGATCTTCAAATATTTCTTGATAATCTTGCGATGCCCCTTGAGGTTGAAGAGCAGGTTGAGGTCGAGGTTCTTGCATCAAGTCTTGTTGTTGTGGAGGTGGTGTATTATCCTGCTGAGAAGCTTCAGGCTCTTCTTGAACAGGACCACTAGTGAAAACATTTCTTCTACATAATGGGCAATTCTCTGATCTTTCCAACCAGTCTTTCAAACAGCCCATATGAAGAATATGTTTACATCTCAATTTCTTTGGATATTTTCTTAATGGTAATTGCTTATTATGGGTAGCTTCATACTCATCAATGGAAAACATGTCTTCACGGCAAATGATACACAAATTATCAGATTCTGCCAAATCGTCAGCGGTTGCGTTCTTAAGTTGGCTATCGAGACGCTTAGTTGATTCTATAAAAGAAATCAACTGTTTGACTTCAGTGTATATCAGCTTAATCGAGGAGAAAGTTCCTTGAAGCATTGATAAAGGAAGGGAATTTGAATTAAAAGTTAGAAGATAAATAAAACTCACATAAGAAATCAGTTTTAAAGAGGAAGAAATAATATCAATAACTTTAGTATAATAAGGTTTGTTTTCCCAAACACGTTCTGAATCATCATCATCCATATCATCATCATCTAAATCAATCCCTAAAGATTCCACAAAGACTCTAAATTCAATCAATTCATAAACGTTTAATATCAATTTGGCAAAATAAGTTAAACTTTCAACACCTTGAATTGCAAATTGAAATCCGATAAGCAAACAAACCACAGAATTGACTCCTTGGAAAACGTCGTATGCCAAAAACTTTGCAATTAGAAAATTAACCACTATACTAGCCCCAACTAGACCAAATATAGAGGTATAACTTTTCAAGACACTGAAAACCGTAAAATTTTCATCGTTTGGTCTATTCCAAATTTTCATTTGAGTATAATCAACTCTGTCAATCAATATAATGTGAAACACTTTTGAAAGAATGGTAGAGTGTAACAAAAAACAGTTAAAGATGATATTATCATCATTACTCACAATCAATAATAAATTTATCACCAACAAGGGCAATTTTTCAAATATATGTTCACTTTCAATGATCCTCAACTCTCCAAAGATAAGCAATTGGAAGAATTTACCTATGACAAGAAAGATAAAGAATAAGAAGTTAACTATAATTGATAATTTATAACCATCAGTTAACTCACTCGTTAATGATAAAAAGTTGGTGGTGATCCTTAGTGAGTCGTAAATTGACCACGCCAACGATACTACCGAAACCAACGAGTACAAGATAAAGTACCTTGTTATTTTGCTCAATTCCATGGTGATAAGCCGTAATAAAGGAGTAACTTTATCACTGCGTTGTTATCATGAGTTGAGTTTTTCTTTATAACTTTTTTGTTGGCTCGCACGATAATTGCAAAATACGAAAATTATATATTAATCTATGAAGAATAGTATGAATACAAACAAGAAAGGAATAAATACAAAGACGAGAGAATGCATAAGGAGAGGAGAAGAAATGAAAAAATAATTGTAGTTATACAGAGAAGAAATGGTTATTAGAAGATCATTAGGTTCTTCTTCTTTTGAATGTTAGATTCTCTTTATCGTTTTGATGAAATAAGGTTGGAATTTTGCTGTTCAGTAAAGAAGGTTTTCTTTCATGATTGGGTTCAGGTTTTTCATTTGGAATGGACGATACCGATCTAGTTAGTTCGTTATGGAAGTTATTATTTGGTGGGAAAGTGTAGGTGTTATTTCTTCTTAGAGCAGGAGCAGAAGATCGAATGGGTGATCTTGCTTGTCTTGAAGGAGGTCTTATAGGAGATCTATTGGGGGATCTAGTTGGAGTACGGGAAGGAGGTCTCGAAGATGAGCGAGAAGATGAACGGGATGAGGATGAATTTTTTGCTGGGGACATGACTGAAGATACGTCATTGATTGATTTTTGAAGTTCTTTCAATTCCTTATTAATATTGACTAAATCTTGTTGGTTCAACTTATTCTTATCTTTAAACAAGTCATTAATGGATTTAATTTTATCCGGAACTGATTTGATTAGGGTATGATTGTTAATGGAGTCGATATTTTTACTAATGGAAGGATTTATCAAGTTATTATAATGCTTTAAGATATCATTAGCAGTTTTATTTAATGATTTGAGTAAGTCTTCATCGAACTTTTTATAGATGTCACTTGAGTTATGAATATTATTAGTAATTTTCAAATGTAAATCATCGAATTTTGAATTTGAAATCGAATTAGTATTTGAAATTTGTTTTTTATTTGAATCGAGAATTTTATTGGAAAAAGAGTTTAATGAAGATTCCACTGATTTATTATTTTCTTGGAAAGATTCATCAATGAATCTAATAACTTGTTTTAACATTTTTTGCTTTAAGATTTCATTTGAGTTAATTTGATCTTTAATTTGGGATTCAAGTAGTTTTTGATTTTCTTTATCATTAATTAAATGATTTGACTCGATGAAAGAAGCAAAATCATCTTTATTTGACTTCAATTCTTTCAAATCTTTTAAAAGACTAAGTTTTGATTTATTCAATTGATCATTCAAATCTTTTAAAGAAATTTGAGATAAAATTTGTTTAATTTGATCAGATGAATTAGTGATTGAGTTTTGAATAGATAATTCATGATTATTTAAATCATTCTTCAAATTAATTAATTCGCTTTTATAAAAAATTTGGAAATCATTGAAATTTTTATCTAGTTTGTTAGATTGGAATTCATTTATTAAGGTATCAATTAATTTATTGATTTCATTTAAGTTTGAATTAACAATTTTACTTAAATGGAGATTCTGTAATTGATATTTCTCAGTTAATTTAACAATACTGGTATTCAAATCATTAATCTGCGATGATTGGTTAAAATTTTCATTTTTATAAGCAACATTTGATGATTCCAAATCTTTAATTTTTTCATTCAAATCTTTTATTTGAAACTGATTATCGGATAATTTTAAATTTAATGAGTTTATTTGAGAATTTTTTTCCTTTAATTCAATTTCAAAATTCTTAATATTTTTCGAATATTCTTTATAATTATCAATACTCATTTTGATCCCGTCGGAATCTTTATCTTTCGATGCCATTAAATCTTTTGTTAACTTGATAATTTCTTTTGATAAATCCTGAACCAAGATTTTTTTCAAAACCAAATCGCTGTCTTGACCAATTTGAGGAATATTTTTAATATTTTTAGCTTTTGAAGCATAATTTAATGTTGATAAAGTTTCTTGATAATTAATCTTAGCAGGAGAGATGGTAGCAATTAGAGAGGTTTTAGTTTTACCCCCAATAGAATCTTGTAATAATCTAGTTAACTTGGATTCTCTATAAGGAATATGTTTTGAATCACGGCCCTCACTTAAACAGTTGATCACTTTACCTAAAGTAAGTAAACTTTGATTAATTGAACCGGCTTCTTTTGCTCTTTGATTTTGAGCTCCTGATTTATTGATATCTTCAGATCCTGCCAAATCGACTAAATTCATTTTAGAATGTTTGAAGTAGTTACCGTTAGTTTTTTTATATAAATTAATGGTGAATATAGTATGGGATCTTGACGATTGGTCATTCAATTTTGTTGAACCGGTTTTCCTTTTATTGAGACTTTTAGTTAATAGACTAAAGGCCAATTCATGATTATTAATTGGGATTTCTCTCAAATTTTGGGTAATTATATTTGAGTTTGAATCGGTTATAATTCTCAACTTTGATGGGTTGTTTTCTTCAACAAGTAAATCTTTCAATTCTTCTTTATATAACTCAATGAAAGAGCATTTGACCAAGTAATCCTCACTATCGTTCAAAGACCTAAACAACTCTTCCAAGATCCTTGGAATTATCCCCTTATTATCGTCATTATCTTGTCCACACATGGTATAAGTTTTCCCCGTCCCCGTTTGCCCATAAGCCAAGATTGTAACGTTGAACCCATGGATAAAGTCCTGGAATAGCGGCAAGGCGACGTTTCTGAATATAAGCGACTGATCGGCTTGAGAACCGTAGACCTGATCGACCTTAAAAGTTTTTGAATTCAAGTTCAAGTTTGAATTTGAATCGGTTTCTTGATTCACCGTAACCAAGGGATTATTGATTGAATAGATGTCATCGGGGAGATCGATGATGTTGGGCGATTTGGCATTCACTTCCCGGCCGTTTCTACCACGGCACCGAACTATTACCTGGATATTTGAATCACTCATTGGTAAAGAAGAAGTAGCTTAAAAATGAAAACAACTTGGGCGCGTATTTAACCGCGCAACAAATAAATAAATGAATAATGAATGAATAAATGTAGATAGAGATAGATAGAGATAGATAGAGATAGATAGAGATAGATAGAGATAGATAGAGATAGATATAGATAGATATAGATAGATATAGATAGATATAGATAGATATAGATAGATATAGGTATAAGTATTTAGATAGATGGGTAGGGGTATAGATATAGGTATAGATATGAGTGGAGGAGGTATGGAAGAGCTCTGTTCATGATTCGCAAACAGAGTAGAGAATAGGTAAGAATGTAGAATAAGGTAAGATTATAGACTATAGAAGGAGGAGTATAGACTATAGAAGGAGGAGTATAGACTAAAGAAGTAAGAATATAGAATACGGAAGTAAGAATATAGAATATGGAAGTAAGAATATAGAATATGGAATGTAGAAGGACCAATGTAGAATAAGGCAAAAATATAGAAGGAGAAATATAGAAGGAAGAGTATAGAAGGTAAGAATGTAAATAAGGTAAGAATGTAGAAGTAAGAATATAGAATAAGGTAAGAATATAGAATACAGAATATAGAAAGAAGAATATAGAAAGAAGAATATAAGAGTGGAATAGTAGAAGAGTAGAAGAGTAGAAGAGTACAGCAGAAGAGCAGAAGAGTAGAATAGAAGAGTATAGTAGAAGAGTAGAGTAGAAGGTAAAGAAGAAGAGTAGAAGAGTAGAGAAGAAGAGTAGAAGAGTAGAGAAGAAGAGTAGAGTAATAGAGTAGAAGAGTAGAAGAATAAGAACGCTTGGAACTAACTACGAACATGATAGTGGACAAACTAGCATGTATTACTATACGAGACTAAAGAAGATAAGTATATGGTATTAATCAAAGTCACTGTCACTATCATCTCTTCTGTTGAAGACGATTTTATTGGACTGAGTCTTTTCGTCTCTTGATAGCCCCTGCAAGATCTCGACGATATCGTCTTCGGTCAACTTCCTGGCAATGGACCCCATTGAAATCAACTTGACAATATAGTTTTCCACTGCTTCTGCCCGATCTGGTCGGACGATTCTAACTCTGCTCAACCGTTCTCGGGCACTGTTTTCAAGGGCCTGAGAAAGCATCGACACCTTCATTTCACTCACGTCGTTGGCAGGCGGCTTGGATTTCTGCAACTCCGCAAGCCTGGCCTGGCGAATGGCATTAAGTTCCGAGTCGTCCATTCTGTTACTGAATAGCTGAATAACTAAGATGAACCCGAGATTAATTTTTTTTTTTGTTAGTGGGCACTACATAAGCAGGAAATCAACGTTAATCAAAAAACAGCGAACTGAAAAAGAACCATTTGCTATTCCTTCCCCAACATGAGTACACCAGATAAGAGCAATATATTAAGAAAGTATAAGATTGTATTTCTAGGAGATCAGAGTGGTATGTGTTACTGGAGAAAAGTAGGGGTTAAGAATGTATATTAACTGATTTTAGTGGGGAAAACATCCTTGATTACCAGGTTTATGTACGATACTTTTGATGATCAATATGCCGCCACCATTGGGATTGATTTTTTAAGTAAAACCATGTATTTGGAAGATAACAAGACGATTCGTTTGCAGTTATGGGACACTGCTGGCCAAGAGAGATTTAGATCGTTGATTCCTTCGTATATAAGAGACAGTCATGTTGCGGTGATTTGTTATGATATCACCAATAAGAAATCCTTTAATAATTTAGAAAAATGGATAAACGACGTGAAGTTGGAAAGAGGGAACGATGTGATTATAGTTATTGTTGGGAACAAGTCTGATCTTAATAACAAACGTCAAGTCACGGTGGAAGAGGCCGAAAATTTGGTTAAATTGAGTGACGGCAAGTTTATAATTGAAACCTCAACCAAGGCAAACCATAACGTCAAGTTGTTATTCAAGAAGATTGCGCAGTGCTTGCCTGATTTCAATGAGTCCAGTGACGACCAAAAGCCTGAAACCGTGAACATAAGTGTGGATAACGAATCCGCCCCAAGTAGTTCTTGTTGTTAATAAACGTCCTTCCCGAGATATTGTAGACAGTCACTACATGTACATTCACTACATTCACTACATATACTTACTATTCACTACATTCACTACGTTCTATCATTCACTACATATACTTATTATTCACTACATTCACTAATGGCTGCAACGAGGGCGGCGAGTTCCGGGGGTGCGCGACCGGACACCCGACCAAATTGGCCAACAAATCCGGGGGCCCTCGGCAAAACACCCGTGCACCACACAAACACCCGTGCACCACGCTACCTATCAGTACATTAGCCAGACAATGGTCCATTAAACAATACACCAGTATTATACAGTGTTGTAGCATATGTAGTCGTATAGGTTAAATATAGAAAGAAAATACGAGCGCTTACCTAAGCAGCGTTCTGGTCTGCGCGCCGGGGGCTATTTTTGTTAGCAAGTCGTGTCTGCTGCCCTTGCAAACCTACAACAAAACCAATAACAACAACCCAGACAAAGATACAGGGGCTAAAACCAGTTGATGGAAGGCCTAGTATTCAAGGGAAAAAGAAACAAACCAGGGAAACTGCTTGAGTAAAGGAACAAACAACAAGGGAAAAAGAAAAAAAACACTCTGAGAGCAGGGAAAAAATAAAACAAACCGAAATATCTTATAATAATTTTGATGGTACCTTGTACCTTACTTCTAATATAAAGTTGATTCTAGTATTGGAAAGCACTGGGTAGCAGACCTATGAAGATATCTATTGAAGAGTGTACCCTGATATATTTATAGAACCAGTGATTGGAATTCCCTTTGTTTTCATTTAAAGTATCGGCAAATACACCCTTTTGTTCGTCTATCATCACTACTTATATCATCAACATTCACCAAAGATTGACAAAAATTTTTTTTCTTTGTTTTTTAGTTAACCGTAATGACAGAAGATAAAAAAAAGAGACCTTCTAAAGGTAGAGTGTTCCAGTGTACGGGGTACCCGGACTGTAATATGTCATTTACCAGATCAGAGCACCTTGCCCGTCATAAAAGGAAGCACACTGGGGAAAGACCTTTTACTTGTCCTCATTGTCTGAAGAACTTCAGTAGGTTGGATAATCTAAGACAGCATAAGCAGACGGTGCATGCTTACGAGAATTTGATCACCGATGATTCCAAGGCCAATCCCAAGACCCCCTTGTATCCATATTTGAATAATCCTCCGCTAATAAGTCCTCCCAATTCACATAGTCCCCATTATTATCCATACCAGATGCCTTATTACCAATTACCTTATCCGTATGTCCAGCAACAACAACAACAACCAGTCCAGCAACAACAACAACAACAACAACAACAACAACCACAACAACAACCAGTCCAGCAACAACAACCACAACAACCAACACAACCACAGCCAGTCCAACAGCCAATTCAACAACAACAACAACCAGTTCAACAACCAGTTCAACAACCAGTTCAACAACCAGTTCAACAACCAGTACAAGACTTGAAGATCCCAGCAAACCAATTCAAACCAAAAAGAAGACCCAGACCGCTTTCTCTCCTACATTCAACCACCGAACCACTCAAACTGGCTCCTCCGTTGCCCCATTACCAACTCACTCCCTCGTCGTCGCTCCAATTCCCAGCGGCTCCTAAATCAGCCTCGTTGACCCCCAATATGGTCAGCCCCTTGAGCCCCTTGTTCCACCAGTCGTTCTACCAACAAAAATCAAAAAACTTACCCTCTGTCAAATCCCTCCCGATTCCAACCAATTTCAAACCAGTTAAGAATGACTCTTCAATTACAAAATTACCTTCGATTAATAAAAAAACCGGCGAAATTCAAAAAAATTGGTTGAAAGATGTCCTCAACGAGGACTCCGTCTCCAAAAAACCCTCCATAAACAATTTATTATCTCCCTATGATGATGAATTCCCAAATTAATTGTATTATATTGTATAAATATACGCTTCGTAAAAAACACCCGTACATCTTAATCCATCAACAACTAGATTTTTTTGCCGAGCGCCTACTTGAACTCAGCGGCTACTTCTTCTTCTTCTTCTTCTTCTTCTTCTTATCACAACATGTCCAAGGAAGGCTCGACGGACGACTTGTTCAACAAGTTTGTCAGCGGGGTGCCTGATGAGAAGGTGCTCGACGAAATGTTCACGCTTCGTGAAACAAAACACGCCGACGACGCTGTTGATTATGAAGATATCGATGAATTGGCCGATGACGATTTGCCAATGGATTCAGTGCCGGAAGGCATGTTTGATGGGGACGCCAAAGAGGCCAGGCTCCAGGAAGTGGCCAACGACGAATTTGACGGGTTTTTCGATAACGACGAGGATCATAACAACATTTTCAATAACCTAAATGAACCTAACCAATTAGAAGAAGACGGGTTGGATATGGGCGGCATTTTCGAAGAAGACCACGAAGACCGTAAAAGAAAGTTGGACTCTCCCGATTTGAAAATCTTGAAAAAACAAAAATTGTCCAGGATTGTTAAAAAATTAGAAGCAAACTTACTTGCCAAAAAAATCTCCTATTTTTTCCCAAATTTTAAAAAGGATAAACCTTATAATAATTATCTTTTAACCATTCCAAATCCTTTATACTACTCGAGCCAAAGACCACCCATTGCATTTAAAAAAAGAATAAAACCCCTTATTCCTTCAAAATTATCTTTAGAAGTCGAACCGGATCAAAGAAAAGAATTTAAATCAAGAAATTTTAAAAAATTCAAATCGGGTATACTGGATATTACCCCTAATGATTTGGATTTCATTAAAGAATTGTCTGCAACAAGTAAATCTTTCTTAAAACAAATCCCCTTTTTATCCCTGGACGGTATAAATAATGATAAATTTGCGGAATTCGATAAAAACTTGGTTCTTTCCACTACGGATTGGGATGATGATGCTATAATCAACTCCAAAAAGAAAGACAAAGTCACCGATAACTTGATTGATTATGATTATGACGATGAAAATATCTTCTCCGGTCAAATCTCTTCGGATAAATTCAATTTGGATATGAATGATCCAAATCTATTATTTGTTCCAGAAAAGAAAAATAAAACTTCAAAAGCCTTCACTCCTAAAGATCAAAATTTATTACAGTTGAAATTTAACATCTCAAATGACAAACAATACGAAATCTTGAAAAATAATTATAATACTAAGGTCAGAAGTCAATTAAGTAATTTGAATATCGAACATTCAATCCCAGCTTTACGTCTTCAAACCCCTTACTATAAAGTCAGATTAAACAAAAATTCTTCTAGAGCTTTCCATAGACCTAAGTTCAATGTTAGAAGTGGTGCAGTAATTACTTTTTCAAAACTTAAACTTCGTAAAAAGAAAAAGGATAGAAATAGATCTCCTCAAGAAATTTTTGCTCAAACTGGTGATTTAACAACCGCTGATACTGGTATGATCATTGGTATGGAATACGCTGAAGAATATCCGTACATTTTATCGAATTTTGGTATGGGTTCAAAATTAATTAATTATTATCGTAAAGAAAAAGAAGATGATAATTCTCGTCCAAAAGCCCCAGTTGGTGAAACCCATGTTTTGGGCGTTGAAGATAGATCTCCCTTTTGGAATTATGGTTACGTTGCTAAAGGTGATTTTGTTCCCACTTTATATAATAATATGCTTAGAGCTCCCATCTTTAAACATGAACCAAAAAATACCGATTTCTTGCTTATAAGATCTCAAGGTGCTGGTAATCATATTAGACATTTCCTTAGGCCAATGAACCATTTATTTTCAGTAGGTCATATTTTCCCAGCGGTTGAAGTTCCTGCTCCTCATTCTAGAAAAGTTACTAATACTTTTAAAAATAGATTGAAAATGGTGGTTTATCGTACAATGAATAAAAAAGGAGTTGCTCATGTTTCGGTTAAAGATGTTTCCAAACATTTCCCTGATCAAACTGATATGCAAAACCGTCAAAGACTTAAAGAATTTATGGAATATCAAAGAAAAGGGGAAGATCAAGGTTTTTGGAAAATTAGAAATAGTAACGTTGTTCCTTCAGAAGATAAAATTAGAGCCATGATCACTCCAGAAGATGCTTCTTTACTTGATAGTATGCAACATGGTCAACAAATTTTAGATGATTTTAGTGCCATCTATAATGAAGATCCAAGATTTAAAAAGGAAGAAAAAGAAAAAGAAAAAGAAAAAGATAAAGAAAAAGAAAAAGATAAAGATAAAGATAAAGATAAAGAAAAGGAAAAAGATAAACCAAAAGATGTTAAAAAGGAAAAGGACAATGAAAATGAAAAAAAGAAAAAGGATAAAGATAAAGAAAAGGATAAAGATAAGGAAGATGAAGAAGACGTTGATGAAGAATTGGCGCCCTGGAGCTCTTCTCGTAACTTTATAAGTGCAAACCTGACTAAATCTATGCTTCAACTTAATGGTGAAGGTGACCCAACGGGGATTGGTTTAGGATTTTCATTTTTAAAAGCGACTCAAAAAAATCCATTTCAAATGTTTATTCCCCAACCAAGAGAAAACATTCCTAAAAATAATACTGCTTCTTACCAACAGAAATTGTATGAATCAGAAGTTTCTAGAATTTGGTATGCTCAAAGGAGATCGTTAACAGTAGAGCTGGAAGGTCATAGTCTTAATTCTATATACGATGAATACAAACCTCTTGATCATCTTGAATACTTGAAAGGTAAATTAAAAGAAATTGAAGAGAAAAACAATGATCAACCAAAAGTTTTGAAAATTACTAGACGAGTTAGAGATGAAAATAATATTGTTCAAAGAAAAGTTGAGATAATTCACGATCCAAGACTTATTAGTGCATACATTAGGAGAAAGAAGGAAATTGAAGGAGAAAAAATGTCCCAGGCTGATGTTAATGATATTATTCCTACTAATGATATTGAAATGAATAAGATTCGTAAGAAGGCCTTGCAAGACAAAATTGCTAGTTTACAAAAAAGAGCTAAACTTAGTAAAGGTCGTAAAGGTACTAGTAAGGATCCATTACACGCAGCAGCAGCCAATGGTGGTACTATTATCGACGCCAATACTGTGATGTTACCAGATGGTTCATATGCAATTGGTGGTAAAGGTATTGGGAAGGGGAAGAGTCAAAATCGTCGTTGTAAATCTTGTGGTGCATTTGGTCATATTAGAACCAATAAGTCATGTCCATTATATTATCAAACACAAGGAGGAACTGTTCCCATCTCGAAAGAACTCAAAGAAATGATTTTGGCAAACGCAAATTCAAACCCAGGCCAAAGTGCACCTTCAAGTGGACCTTCAAGTGCCGTACCTACAAGTGCACCACCTGCTGAAAGTGCAGCACCTGCTAGTAATCCTCCAAGTAGCGCAGTACCTACGGCGTCTTCTCCTAAAGATTAGTTTTTTGTACGAATTTAATGACATATTTATAGTTATTACTTTGTAGTTAAACGGTATATATTAAAAAGGGTATTAGAAGAATTGAACGACGGGACCAAAGAGATTTGGTTAATGCATTAAATTATTTTGACAGACAAGATTTTACTGACTCAATCCAATAGTCTCAATTAGGGTTTCAATTGTTAGAATCATTGAATGGAAATGATTCAAGTCTTTGTTTGATAATTCATTTTCGAAAAACTTTATGATCAATTGACTTACACTTACCAATTTCCGTAAACTATTAACGTATTCAACATAATTTGACCAAAGTTTGGTTTTTTTATCGAATTTTAACGGTAATTTATCTTGTTTTAGCGATTTTAAATAGTTTTGATTATAAACCAAAATGTCTTTCCTTAAGCTGGGTAAGATCTTGGTAATGATCAACAATTCATAATCCTTATATATTTTGAATAATTCTTTGTTCTTATAATCATTAATTTTTTTAATTTTTTTCAATTTTTCAATTTCGATCATTAATTGGCGTTTTGGGTTTGGTTCTTCCAGAAAATCATCTTCAATTTTGATTTGATCGAAATGATACTTCTTTGAAAGAAAGTCTGATAACGGTAATTCTTGATTTGTCGGGATACTTGAAGTTATTGATTCATTTAGTTGATCTGGTAATTTGAATTTATTATCGATTATATTGGTCAAGTTAGCAATTATCGCTTGATTTTCTTCAATTTTATTACTGAAACGATTGACGAGGTTTATCAAAGGTTGATAATTTTCAGTTTTAAGAAAGAAATTATACGGAGAGGAATCATTCATGGTTGAAGATCAAGGTGGTCATACTACTACAATTTACATACAATTTATTTTTTTTTTTTTGACCTTCTGCGAAAAACTCTACAGTAGACAATTATACAAGCTTTATAATTTACATAATAACCTTTATTTACAAATCGTAGTAATACTTCGTACATTCATCTTTATTTTGATTGTTGTTGCAATTGAGCGGACCTTCTTTCTTGTTTACCCTTTTTCATGACTTGTTTAAGAGCAGCACTATCCAAAGGATCCAATAATTCAAACAGACATAATAACTCTTCACTAACACTCATTACAGCACCCCAATTATCGAATTCACCACAATAATTTGGAGCCAGGAAGACGGTAACCAAGGTTCGATCGTTGAAAAACTCGTAACCATCTTCAACCACCATATGAGCTCTACAAACCAAATCAAACCCGAATTTTGATAAGAATTTATTGATTGCAATTTTGGAAAAAACATAAGAGACACCCCGTTCGTTATCTTCCCATTCATTTAGAGTGTCTGCCGGATCTGACCATAATAGATCATTTAATAGGCCATAATCGGGGACATCGGTTGGTCTAGCGATATTTCTTATTTCATCCATACTATTCAAGACTGGGGATAATCCACCATGAACACAAAAGATTTTACCCGCAACAATGGCAGCAATGGGTAAAGTATTAAAAGTATCAATGAACAATTTCCAAGTTTTAATATTACACCGACGTTTACATTCATCATAAAAGCCATAAACCCTAGTAACGTTAGCACATTCATGATTACCTCTTAAAAGAAAGAAGTTTTCTGGGTATTTGATTTTATAACAAAGTAATAATAGGATAGTTTCTAAAGATTGTTTACCACGATCAACGTAATCACCCAAGAATAAATAATTTGTTTGAGGAGGGAACCCACATTTAGTAAAGATACGAATCAAATCGGAATATTGGCCATGAACATCGCCAACGACTTTAACTGGAGGACTTAATTCTAATAAAGAAGGTTGGGATAAAAAAATTTCTCTTGCATTTGAACAAATCAATTGAATTTCGGAATTTTTAAGACAAACGCTTTTAGTTCTTTTACCCAGGTAACCAGCATCCAATAATCTTTGGATCAAATCTTCTATATCAATAGTATTTGGATTTTCATTATTGGTTGTTACTGATTGATATTTCGTTAATGAATTTGAATTGGATACCTCATCATTAGGTACCTCATTCAAATCATCTTCCGCCGATTTATCCTGATCGATTGATATGGTCTCTTGAGGAGTCAAGGGATAATGAAGAGAATGGTTGGTCACTGAATGATTAGTCGATGATCTACTTAATTCATTATGGTTATTTGAAGACTGAGAAGTTACCGAAAACCGACGGGGCGATTGTGGATTGGAAATATTTTCATCGGTATTTCTTCTGAGTAATATTGGAGTTTTAGGCTCCACTTTCATCATTGAAGGAGGTAAATTATTCAAGTTCAAATTGGACATACTTTGATTAATTTCTTCATGATCATCCTTTGGTTCTTCATTATTCGGTAGTTGATCAGTATTGGTTGATGAGTTTTTTCTTGATAGTATTCGGGGAGTGTGTTTAGGTGATGAATTCGAACTATTTATATTTGAATTTAGCTGTGCCGTTGAATCATCCTTCAGTAAGGATATTCTAGAACGAATAGACCTGGATGATTTAGCTGAGCTCCCGGTATCGGTACGAGCCAAAGGTAATGTATTCTTATTTGTTTTGGAGGTTCCATTACCCATTATGTATCTATTTGTTTAAACTTGGATATCAATTTGAAACGAATGACACCACTAGATTGGTTTACGATTAAAATAGTTAATAAAGCTGGTTTCCCAAGTTTTATTAGTTAGCTTTTTCCAGTGAGAATTGCGATAAAAACGAAGGAGTATCAGAATATATTCCAGATATATTTAACCAAATTTCAATACAACTCACTACGCTACTCAATAGTCAATTGCTAATTATAACTTTGGTCAAAGATGGTTTGGTAAACGGTGTTGGCTTTGATTGGGGGTCTGGAGGTTTGAAAGTTCCATTAAAAAAAAAAAAAAAAGTGAAAAAAATATAATTCCTGCTTAGGTAAGCGCTTATGTCAGCGCGGAGGTGTTTGTGCGTGCGTTTACCTATAGATTGCGGTTCTAGAACCGCGCGAGAAACACCCGTACATTTTCTTCGTAAAAGCGGGGTATATACGCGAGCACAAGACCCGTACACCGGGGCCCCGCGGGCCCAGCTCTCCGTCCTTCCCTTTTAGGTAACTTTTGCTCCTTCTCTTATTACTTACTCTTACTGCAACTATTACTCCTTCTCTTATTACTTACTCTTACTGTAGCTATTACTTACTGTAGCTATTACTTACTGTAACTATTACTTAGTGTAACTATTACTTAGTGTAACTAATCCTTACTATAACCCACTATTAGTTGATGCACTGTTATACGACGCCAACTTGTTTAGCGCCTACTGTGCCTGCTCTTACTCTTAGTTCGTAGTCTTAGTCTTAGTAGTCTTAGTAGTCTTAGTAGTCTTAGTAGTCTTAGTCTTAGTAAGTACTCCTGCAGGTGTCTTACTACTCCTTCTCTCATTCTTAGCGCTACTTACAGTTACATATACAATTACAGTTACGGTTGCAGTTACAGTTACAGTACATCCATTTCTGCTTCCCTTACTCACGTTTCTATTACCTCTTCTATTCACCACCTCTACTCTCCTATTACTTACTCGTATCTTACTCTTATTACTCACTCCTATTACTTTTTACTGTACTTACTCACTCCTATTACTTTTTACTGTACTTACTCTCACTCTTAATCTACCTTCAGCTACTTAATCTACCTTTAGCTCCTTCATACTTCAGCTACTTCAACTACTTCAGCTACTTCAACTACTTCAGCTACTTCAACTACTTCAGCTACAGGTTCACGTAGTCCTCACGCTCAGCTTCACCTTCAGATAACAGCATTGTATCCCTGATAAGTAATTGAATGCGTTATCTGAAATTCCGCACTGGTATATAAACAGTGGAAGGAGCACTTATTTTTAAAGTTAAAGGCCAACACTAATGATTAATAATGTTTGCTATACAAGAAGATGTCCATGATTCTCCAAATAAAGGTAAACCCCGACTGTCAAGGTCTCAGTTAAATTCTGGGACCGTAATTTCCAGCATTACCATTAAGGAGTATAAACGAGCAGCGAAAACGTTGGCAAAGTCTTTTGATAAAGACCCCTTTGTCAATTACATTTTAAATACCGAGATTGAGCCACTGACTCTGTTAAAAAAACAAGTAAAACTGGATTTATTCTTATCATTTTTTGAATATTCCGTTTACGATGTAATTAGTTCAAATGGATTGGTTTTGGTAGTGAAGGATGTTCAATTAGAAGACGATTTGATTTCAAATCAATTGAAAGCTTCAGAAATTAATAAATTGCCATTTTTAGCGGTTGCTTGTTTTAACTTTATCGATTCAAATGAACGAATGGATGATTCGTTAAGTTTCCATCCTTCTTCAATAAAATTTAACTTGTTTGCTTCTTTGACCAAGTGCCGTCTGAAAGTATTCAAGGATAAGTTCCCTCTTTTGAATAGTATTCGTGATGGTGTTTTAACTAACTTGAAATTAAGTCGAATTTGGTATTTAAATGATATTGGGGTTTTACCCCATGCTCAAGGTAATGGTTATGCTAAAAAATTGATTCAATTTACTTTGGATCACCATATTAAACAAGATTATTGCTATTTAGAAAGTTCCAATATTATAAATCGTAAATTTTATGAAAAATTGGGTTTCAAAATTATGAAATCCTTCTTTATCGACGACGGTGAAATAATCATGGACGCAATGGTTAACACTGCTTAATAGATACTCAATATATATATATATATTATTAAAGTGCGTAGAAGCTTTTGAAATTTTTTTTTTTTTTTTTAACTACTCATCATGTTTAAGCATTTCCAAAGGGTAAGACATTTTTCAAGGAGTCGGTTACTTTGTAAACCTCCGATAGACTCTAATGGGCTTTATTATGGTAAGTTCACTAAAGAAGAGTACGACCAAGCTGCTAAATACGTAAAGGATCAATATGATAATCTTGCTAATCTGATTAAAGGTACTACTCATATAAGAGAAAATTTAGACAAAATGCCGGCATTTCCAAGTATTGATAGAACTAAAGGTGGTATTAAGGTTGAAAATTTATCTCAATTCTTCGAACAAACCATTAAAACAACCGGTCCAATCACTTTACTGGCTTACATGAGACAATGTTTAACTCATCCCGATTTTGGTTATTATACTACGAGAAACCCGTTAGATTTCAAGACTGGGGATTTCATTACCAGTCCTGAAATAAGTTCAATGTTTGGTGAAATGTTGGGTATCTGGCTTTATTCAACTTGGTTGAATCAAGATAAACCTTCATCTATAAATATTATTGAATTTGGTCCCGGTAAAGGTACTTTGATGCATGATGTAATTCAAATTTTTAATAAATTTGTTATGAATAAAGTGAAAATTAATATTATAATGATTGAATCTTCTTCAGTATTGAGATATGAACAATATAAACTATTATGTACTCAACACCCTTTCAATTCAACAGAACATGGGTTTAATAAATCAATTACTAAATGGAATAATGAAATTTGGTGGTGTAACACTGAAAAAGATATTGACTTAATTAATGAATCAATTGAAGTCCCTAATTATATTCTAGCCCATGAATTTTTCGATGCATTACCAATTAAATCATTTATCAAACAAAAAAATGGTTGGAGAGAATTATTAGTAGAACATTCTCCTTCAGTAAATAATACTCAAGGTAAATTACCTTCAAATGAAGAAACTTCTAATAATGATTTATTAAATGCTGATTTTCATTTAACTCTTGCTCCAAATGAAACTCCTTCTTCCATGATTCCAAAATTAAATCCTCGTTATGAAAATTTACCAGTTGGTTCAAGAGTTGAAATATGTCCAGATTCAGAATTTTACTTGATGAAAATGATTCAGTTATTAAATAATAATAAAGGTGCAGTTCTAATCATCGATTATGGTTTATCAAATCAAATTCCCGAAAACAGTTTAAGAGGTATTTACAAACATAAATTTGTTTCTCCCTTCATCAAACCTGGTGAAGTCGATTTATCAATCGATGTCGATTTTCAAAACTTAAAAAATATCGCTAAAAATTATACCAACGTTTACGGTCCAGTCGACCAAGGTGATTACTTACATGAATGTGGTATCGGCCATAGAGCTCAACAATTATTAGATAAAAATTCAGATAATTATTCTGAACAAGAGAAAATTTTCAACTCTTATAAAAGATTAACCGATAAAGACGATAAAAGTATGGGTAAAATTTATAAATTCTTGTGTTTATTACCAAAAGACTCGAAACCTCCCGTGGGGTTCGGTGGATCCGTTTAATATATTTACTATTTATTCGTATCAACTCATGTAAGTTTCATTTTAAAGAGAATAATTGCAAAAAAAATTGTTAGAGGAGAAATTGAAAAAAATTAAAAATTAAGATTCCGATACCGGGAGTCGAACCCGGGTTTGCTCGGTGAAAGCGAACCGTGCTAGCCGTTACACTATATCGGAGATTTTATAACCAATTTTAGGAATTAGCGTTCACGTCGGTACGAAAGAATAGGATTGCAAAAACTGGAAAAAAATAAAGGCCTTTGTGAACAAGCCCCAATGTCTGTTTTGCAGTCGCCAGGTAGATCCCAGATTTTCCCGGGACCTTATTCCAGACGAGTTTCTCACCCATGTCTATTTAGAGTGCCGTGCAACTTATCTCATTTGGGCTTACTGCCAGTATCCTTCGGCACAAAACTTCCCTGACAGAACTTGGTCTCTTTTTATAGCCAACGCTTCTCTGGACACCAAACAAATCCGAACTATTAATAGATACCACCTGATCCTTTTAAAAGTTCA